ATCTCAAGTTTCTTGGTCAGCTGGATGACTGGCACGTATGCAAACTCACCACCATGCAAACTAGAGTTCCTCATATTTATGCCAGCTCACAAGGAAATGTCTCATGTGTCTGGAATGGAATGGGGTAGTATGATCTCCCATGATTATCTAATTCAGGAGAATATTAGATGAAGGTTGCTTAACCAGTTAAAACCTGAAGTATGCAGGAGCAGCTCATCTTGGTGATAATATCAACAGCCCTGATGGTCTTGATAGTGGTGGCCAAACTAGAACACACACGGTTATCGAGCAAGGTCTCATTTTACAGAACCAGGATTACGTCCTCAGCAGGTCAGGAAGCCCCCCAACTATCCAGATACTATTCAGAGTACAAGTAACTAAACCATTTACTGTGAACGTGGCGTAATGTTCCTTCCAACAGGAACAATCAATCAAATTATACAGTAATAATAATCACTGCATTTAATAAGTGGCTTATAACAACGTCAAGACATCGCTAAACACTTCACAGGATTTTACTACAACAACAATTTACATTCACATAGCGGCTTTCACGTCAGGAGAACGTCCCAACAATGGATAGTCAGGGTTGGGATAAGGAGGGGTGAAGGGCAAAAAAGGGTGGAAGAGTGACCGAAGAAGCTCGCTGAGTGGAGGGAACAGATAGGTACTATGAAGCATAGTGACTGTATATTTGAAGGCTAACACAGCAGCCAAATTGAGTGCAGCAACGACAACAACAACAACTTGCATTTAAATAGCACCCTTCTTGCGGCTAGCATCTTGGAGAGCTTACATTGTAAGCAATGGCACACAAATAGCCATTGGGTGAGTGACCAATTTTATTTGTGGGATTGTTGTCCAGGACACCAGGAGAAACTCCCTTCTCTTTTCGAATAGTGTGTGGGATCTTTAACATCCACCTGAACAGGCACTCAGGTCACGATTCAATGTCTCATCCAAAGAATAGCACCTCTAACAACGCAACACATCCACAGGCAGTTTCAGCTTAGACTGAGAACTCTGAGTACCGACAATGGACTCGATCCAACAACTTTGACTTCAAGGTGACAGCGCTATTTACTGAGCCAACCTCATATCAGGCAGTACATAACTTTAGGCTGGCAATCTCATGGATATGAAAGCTAAGCTCAATGACCAACTGTGATCGGGAAGGGCACAAATGAAGGATGAATCTGAGAGTAAATAGGCATCAGATTAAAAGCAAAACACTAAAGGTGATTCCACTATTATAGTATAGTAACTGGGGAAGAATATTAAATGCTAAGAAATTCAAAAAGAATTGAAACAGAAGAAGAATAGGAGATTTAACATTAAATGACTGCCTCTGAGTTTTTTTAACAATAGAAGTCACTATTAATATGCCGTCCAATATCACTACTCACTAATTGACCTTTCGAACTTCAGTAAGGCAGAGAGGATCTGGCAGGTTTAAAGGCTGAAAACATTAAATCCTGTGATTAATGGATTGCACCCAAAGATACCAAGAGGCAGAAGGGAGGATATATCATCCGCAGACATGGGGTCAACTTCCACATGTATGTTGATGACACCCAACTCTATCTTTCTGTCTCCACCCTCAACTCCAGGACCACTGCTGTCCTGACAGACTGTCTGTCGGACATCGTCCTGGATGAGGGCAAATTTCCTGCAGTTGAATGTGGACAAGACTGAGGCCCTCCGGATTGGCTCCCACCAGCGCCTCAGCACCTCAGGCTCTGGCAGCATCAACCTCCATGGTTGCACACTCCAACTCACCAAACCAGTCAGGAACCTCGGTGTCTTGTTCGACCCTCAACTGTCTTTTCTCCCCCACATTCAAGCCATGACCCGCTCTGCCTTCCCTCACCTCCATAACATTGCCCGACTCCGCCACTACCTCACCCCTCAGACCACTGAAACTCTTGTTCACGCCTTCATCACCTCCAGGCTCGACTATGCAAACTACTAGGCTTGTCGGCCTTCCCAACTCCTCCCTCCACAGGCTGCAGATAATCCAGAAATCTGCAGCCCGTGTCCTCTCCCGCACCAAACTCCGTGACTCCATCTCCCCCATTCTCGCCCGACTCCATTGGCTCCCGATCCTTCAAGGGATCCAATTCAAGATCCTGGTCCTCAATTACAAAGCCCTCCATTGCCTCGCCCCACCCTATCTCTGTGACCTCCTAACCCCCTACCAACCCGCCCGTTCCCTCCGCTCAGCCGGCTCCGACCTGCTCCACGTCCCCCAACCCACCCGCCCCACCATTGGTGGGAGAGCCTTCAGCCACTCTGCCCCCAAACTCTGGAACTCCATCCCCCAGTCACTCCGCCTCGCCCCCTCCTTAGCCTCCTTCAAGTTCCGCCTCAAAATCCTCCTCTTCGACCATGTCATTGGTCACCCTCCTCCCCCTCCCCTCCCTTCTGCCCCCTGATCCCAGCTCGGGTCGGAAATGCTGTACACTGTCCAGCGCCTTAGGACATCCTCCCGACATGAAAGGCACTACACAAATGTAATATTGTTGTTGTTGTTATTTGTGAACCACTTAAAGCAGTGATGGGCAACTTGTGGGCCACGGAGCTGTCAGTGGGCCCCTGAACATTTGCATAAGTCTAGGGAAGGCAGTTTTCGATCACTGTTGTGTTTTCAGTTGTTTCTTGATTGTAAATTTCTCGTTTTATGGCATAAATCAGCAATGGAAGAGTAACCACGTGAAACTTAGTACTGTAGATAAACATCAACATTGCTTTAGAGGAGTCATCTTGCCCGATTAAGCTCAGACTTTAAAAATCAGTGATAACGTTGCTGAAAAGTGCATCTAGACTTTGAAAAAGGCTTTTCATAAAAGTACACCCACAAATATCAGAGTTAACATCGGCGCACAAAACAACAAGGGTGGAATATTACGATGTGTGTGTGTGTGTGGGGGGGGGCGGGGACAGGAAGCACAGTACAAGTACAGAAAGCACAGGCAGATCAGAGGGTAAGATATACACAATCTATTCTGTGAAGCACTTTGAGACATCTCAACAACGTGATGAGGCGCTATATCAAATGCAAGGATGATTATTATTATTATTAAGGTAGGAATAAGTGGTGTTTCTCAGGTATCTGTGCTGGGATCTACCCTGCTTCTGGTTTATTTAAGAAATCTGGATTTCCAAAATCAGACCACAATATCCCCGCCACCCCCACAGTGATCTGGCGATCACTCTCTCTGCTCTCACCCCCACAGTGATCTGGCGATCACTCTCTCTGCTCTCACCCCCACAGTGATCTGGCGATCACTCTCTCTCTGCTCTCACCCCCACAGTGATCTGGCGATCACTCTCTCTGCTCTCACCCCCACAGTGATCTGGCGATCACTCTCTCTGCTCTCACCCCCACAGTGATCTGGCGATCACTCTCTCTGCTCTCACCCCCACAGTGATCTGGCGATCACTCTCTCTCTGCTCTCACCCCCACACAGTGATCTGGCGATCACTCTCTCTCTGCTCTCACCCCCACACAGTGATCTGGCGATCACTCTCTCTCTGCTCTCACCCCCACAGTGATCTGGTGATCACTCTCTCTCTGCTCTCACCCCCACACAGTGATCTGGCGATCACTCTCTCTCTGCTCTCACCCCCACACAGTGATCTGGCGATCACTCTCTCTGCTCTCACCCCCACACAGTGATCTGGCGATCACTCTCTCTGCTCTCACCCCCACAGTGATCTGGCGATCACTCTCTCTGCTCTCACCCCCACAGTGATCTGGTGATCACTCTCTCTGCTCTCACCTCCACACAGTGATCTGGAGATCACTCTCTCTGCTCTCACCCCCACACAGTGATCTGGCGATCACTCTCTCTGCTCCCACCTCCACACAGTGATCTGGCGATCACTCTCTCTGCTCTCACTTCCACACAGTGATCTGGCGATCACTCTCTCTCTGCTCTCACCCCACACAGTGATCTGGCGATCACTCTCTCTGCTCTCACCTCCACACAGTGATCTGGCGATCACTCTCTCTGCTCTCACTTCCACACAGTGATCTGGAGATCACTCTCTCTGCTCTCACTTCCACACAGTGATCTGGTGATCACTCTCTCTGCTCTCACTTCCACACAGTGATCTGGAGATCACTCTCTCTGCTCTCACCTCCACACAGTGATCTGGCGATCACTCTCTCTGCTCTCACCTCCACACAGTGATCTGGAGATCACTCTCTCTGCTCTCACCTCCACACAGTGATCTGGCGATCACTCTCTCTGCTCTCACCTCCACACAGTGATCTGGCGATCACTCTCTCTGCTCTCACTTCCACACAGTGATCTGGAGATCACTCTCTCTGCTCTCACCCCCACACAGTGATCTGGCGATCACTCTCTCTGCTCTCACCTCCACACAGTGATCTGGCGATCACTCTCTCTGCTCTCACCCCCACACAGTGATCTGGTGATCACTCTCTCTGCTCTCACCTCCACACAGTGACCTGGTGATCACTCTCTCTGCTCTCACCCCCACAGTGAGTGATCTGGCGATCACTCTCTCTGCTCTCACCCCCACACAGTGATCTGGCGATCACTCTCTCTGCTCTCACCTCCACAGTGATCTGGTGATCACTCTCTGTGCTCTCACCCCCACAGTTGACCTGGTGATCAGTAACTTGCCTGTGTACAGCGCTCTTCAATGCCGGGTCGCCAGCTTCTCGGAGCGCTGAATGGCTCTTTGCCCCTCCCCACCCAAACACAGTGAGTTAGTGTTGCTCTCTCTCTCCCCTCACGAGCAGGAAGCCCGGTGTCGGCATTGAGCGGAGCCGCCGGGCGGGCGGGCGGGCGGACAGGTGTGAGCCCCGTTCTCGCCGGAATCCCCGTCCGGGGGGACCCGGTCCCTCTCCCCCTCCCAACAGCCCCGCGCACACCACCACCACCACCAACTGACCCGGCGCGCGGGCACCTGACGCACAGCACAATCGCGCACTCTCGCGCTCACCGCCACCACCAACCGCCACTCACCCGCCGCCGCTCGCGCTCACCAGCGCAGCCCCAGCACCGGCCACTTCCGATTCCCAGGGCTTCTCCGCTCCCGGCAGCCCCCGCCGCGCCCCGACCGCGCATGCGCTTCTCAAACGCTCATGGGAATTGTAGTCCTCCGCCTCCTCCTCCCACTGCCCCGTGTCGTGTTTTTTTGGTCACCCCTGGTGTCTGACACGTGACGAAACCCATCACCATGCTTAAGAGCATCCAAACCAGACTGAGGCTGGTGCCGAGCGACCGACCGACCGAGTGACCGACCAAGATTAGATCCAATAGCCAGTTGCTGGCGTGCGCTGAGCCGGGGCGGGGTTTTCCAGTTTGCTCCCGCTCGCTGTGCATCGGGGACAAACGCCAACGATGGTCTGCTCTGAACGCGACTGCGGAGGTCTAACACGAGAAATAGTTGGATCACCAGAGGAATCCTGGACGACGAGAGCAGCAACAAATTGCATTTGTGTTGCGCCTTTCGCCACAGAAGGATATCCCAAGGCACCGGAAACCTCCTTTGGAAGATTACAGTGAAGCTGTTTTGGGAATTCTCATCATGTCAGCCCACTTGTAAATCAAAAACCCCAGTTTACCTATTCAGGATTCTTGTCAAGAGTACAGAATTCAGCAGTTTTTTAGGATAGATGGTCACAATTAATTTACTGTTGGACTAACTAATGATGCTCGTTTGTATAATTAGTACAAAAAGTATTTTCTAACTGAAATACATCTGTCAAACTCTTCTTGAGCTGCTTCACGTGGAGTTTTGTCTGTCACGAAGAAAAGGTTATAGATTCAATGTTTTTTGGTTAGTAGAAGTGATGTTGAGAATTAAACCGTTCCGATAGAAATGCTGTTAACTTCCTTTAACTTTGCCCCCAATTAATCAATAGTTTACTGATAACTATCCCTTTAGTTCTTTGGATCATATTTTTATAGATACTGTACTTTACAATGAACTTTACATATTTTGAATTTTGCCCTCAACAATTCTCACCCAGAGGAATTGGGCACAAATCAGAGGTTCATCCATTCTGATTGTCAACAAGCTAAACAGTACTAATACAATATGATTATACTGCCCATCACATGACATGTTCAAAATTGTGGTCTGATTGAAAACAAAATATAGTAAATGCATAGAATTATTCATGCATACCATGTACTGTAATATGGTGAGAAAAGCACATTCTGTATGAAATAGGACTTCACTGGTGGGATTGAATGAACAAACATCTCTGTTATGTCTGTAAGTTTAAATTATTTTTCTCTCACTAACAATAATTTGTTGTCTTCTTGCCTACATGATGATGTTGATGGGAACTTCTGCAATTGTCTACTGCCTTATTGGATTTGTGGTTTGTTTATTTTTTGATACCAGGGGTGGAACAGCCGGAGTTTGGTCACAGAATTGATTTTTGGCCAGGACAAATGCTGGAAGTCAGCAGAAAGGCTGAATTTGGAATGCAACTAGAAGAAGTTTATCAAATTAATAGTCAATTGAACTAAATCCACCACCCCTGATCCAGACCCCTTGCTCGATTCCAAATCCCTGACTGCAGCGTCTTGGGATGTCTTCCTGACGTGAAAGGGTAATTTGTTGTTGTTGATGCTCTTGACCAGTATCGGTGATCATTGCATTGTTAGAGGATCCATTCTTTAGATGAGATATTAATTCGAAATCCCAACCGTATTCACTTGGATATTCCATAACGTATTTAAAAAAAGAAGGAATTTTATCCCGGTGCCATCGGCAACAATCCGATAGATAAATTGATCATTCACTTCATAGCTGTTTCTGGGATTTGCTGTGACAAATTGTCTGCCACATTTGCCTTGGTATCTACAAACAATTATTGTACTTGACAGTAGTTATTTTTGAAGAGTTTTGAGACATTTGTGAAGTTTAGCTGCAATGAAGTGCATGTACATTACAACCATGTAATTGTGTGGTAATTGAGTGACCATTTTATTTTATCTGTCTGTCTGTCACTCTGGAACTCCATCCCACGATCCCTTTGCCTCGCTTCCTCTCTTGCCTCCTTCAAGGCCGGTCTCAAGACCCTTTTCTTCGATCGTGCCTTTCATCGCCTTCCCACCTCTCTGCCTTCCCTCACCCCTACACTACCCCTCCCCCATACTCAGACCCTCGACACCTGATTGTTCAGCGCTTTGGGACGTCCTCCCAACATGAAAGGCGCTCTATAAATGTAATTTTGTTGTTGTTGTCTATCTTCTTTTAAGGGATTATTAATCCCAGAAAAGTGATCTGCCTATTGCCTAACAACCGGATTCCTATTTACTGCTAGGAAACAGACATGTGAACTAAAGTTTCTCCTGCCCGGGACTCAAACCCAGGTCCTCTCGTTTGCGAGGCGAGTACTCTAACCAATACCCGACAGGACTCCACAAAGATTAACAAAAAAGGTTGCAATGGCTATGGGTCTGGGAAAATTTAAGTTTATTGTAATAATAAAGAGTCTTCTGTTTCAGGGCCTAGCTTTGGAAGGAAAACTTAAATTTAATGTTGACTTTTGAGAAAAACAAATGAAGAAATTCTAATGAATGCTTTATAATAATAATGCTTACATTTGACAGAGTATCTTTCACATTGGGGGGATGTCTCAAAGTGCATCACATGATATAATATAAAGTGGAGTGATTGTATATTTTATGTGAACTTTACATTTATATTGCATTAAAGCAAGAAAGCAGGAGGCAACCTCAAGGGGAATTTTAATCTGGTTCTTAGGGGAGAAAGCCTTGGAAACAAATTATTTAAACAAATAATAAGGGTTTAGATGGCTCATAGAAGAGATTACACCTGCTAAGTTCAACACCGTCACTACACTTTTTAGCACATCCTGTGAAATATTTTGAGACATCCTCCTTTGAGACATGAAGGGTCCTATACCAAATGTAAGATTATTATCATAACCTCAGGCTCAATGACCCTATCACACCCAACCTTGCCCAGCTCCACTGGCTCCCCATCCCCCAGAGGGTAGAGTTCAAAACCTCATCATCACCTTTGAGACCCTCCACGGCCTTGCTCCTTCCTACCTGTGGAATCTACTAACCCATTATCAACCTGTCCACTACCTCCCCTCAGCAGGCTCCGGCCAGCTCCACATCCCCTGTCCAACCCACCCATCATCAGTGGAATAAGAAAACTTGCCCAATCTTTCGTCCTGCTATTTCCAACTCCATCTATCTATCTATATAAAAAATATCAACTGAGATCTCTGCCAGTGAGCTGCCATTTCTCCTTTCTGTGAGGCACACTTTTATGCCATAAATCTCCTTGGTATACCCTGGTAATAATAATAATAATCTTACATTTGATATAGGACTTTTCATGTCTTCTAGATGTCTCAAAGTGCTTCACAGAACATACTGTAAAGTGAATTGACTATATTTGTGGTACATCAGTCATCTCCGATCCCTCAATGCACAAATGTGTGCCAGGGAATGCACCTGACCAAATCAAACCTAACGGTCCATCGTCAGATCTGACTTGACCACACTTAGACTTCCGCTCCGCCCTCACCTCCGCCAAATAATCCTTTTACTCCAAGATAATCTTGGAGACCAAGGACAATCCCAGGCTCCTCTTCTCCACCATTGACTGCCTCCTCTGTCCACCTTCCTGTGCCTCACCCATCCTCTACTCCAATTCCAACTGCAAGGAGATGTTGGACTTCCTCAAATCCAAGATCAAGGGTATTTGTTTATCTACCACTCCCTTTTCCACCGCTACCTCCTTGCCACCTCCCTCTCAAACCCCAGGCCCCACCCATCCCTACCCTGGGGGGGGGGGGGGGTGGAGAGACTGTGTTGGGGGGGGTGTTGAGAGGCTGTGTTGGGGGAGGGTGTTTGTTGAGAGGCTGTGTTGGGGGAGGGTGTTTGTTGAGAGGCGGTGTTGAGGGGGGGGGGTGTTGAGAGGCGGTGTTGGGGGGGGTGTTTGTTGAGAGGCTGTGTTGGGGGGGGGTGTTGAGAGGCTCTGTTGGGGGTGTGTGTGTGGAGAGGCTGTGTTGGGGGGGGTGGAGAGGCTGTGTTGGGTGGGTGTGTGGAGAGGCTGTGTTGGGGGGGTGTGGAGAGGCTGTGTTGGGGGGGGGGTGTGGAGAGGCTGTGTTGGGGTGGGTGGGTGGAGGGGCTGTGTTGGGTGGGGGTGTGGAGGGGCTGTGTGCGGGATGGGGTGGAGGGGCTGTGTTGGGGGTGTGTGTGGAGGGGCTGTGTTGGGGATGGGGTGGAGGGGCTGTGTTGGGGATGGGGTGGAGGGGCTGTGTTGGGGATGGGGTGGAGGGGCTGTGTTGGGGATGGGGTGGAGGGGCTGTGTTGGGGATGGGGTGGAGGGGCTGTGTTGGGGATGGGGTGGAGGGGCTGTGTTGGGGATGGGGTGGAGGGGCTGTGTTGGGGGGGGTGTGGAGGGGCTGTGTGGGGGGGGTGTGGAGAGGCTGTGTTGGGGGGGGGTGTGGAGGGGCTGTGTTGGGGATGGGGTGGAGGGGCTGTGTTGGGGATGGGGTGGAGGGGCTGTGTTGGGGATGGGGTGGAGGGGCTGTGTTGGGGATGGGGTGGAGGGGCTGTGTTGGGGATGGGGTGGAGGGGCTGTGTTGGGGATGGGGTGGAGGGGCTGTGTTGGGGATGGGGTGGAGGGGCTGTGTTGGGGATGGGGTGGAGGGGCTGTGTTGGGGATGGGGTGGAGGGGCTGTGTTGGGGATGGGGTGGAGGGGCTGTGTTGGGGGGTGGGTGGAGGGGCTGTGTTGGGGGGGGTTGTGGAAGGGCTGTGTTGGGTGGGGGTGTGGAGGGGCTGTGTTGGGTGGGGGTGTGGAGGGGCTGTGTTGGGGGTGTGTGGAGGGGCTGTGTTGGGTGGGGATGTGAAGGGGCTGTGTTGGGGATGGGGTGGAGGGGCTGTGTTGGGGATGGGGTGGAGGGGCTGTGTTGGGGATGGGGTGGAGGGGCTGTGTTGGGGATGGGGTGGAGGGGCTGTGTTGGGGATGGGGTGGAGGGGCTGTGTTGGGGATGGGGTGGAGGGGCTGTGTTGGGGATGGGGTGGAGGGGCTGTGTTGGGGATGGGGTGGAGGGGCTGTGTTGGGGATGGGGTGGAGGGGCTGTGTTGGGGATGGGGTGGAGGGGCTGTGTTGGGGATGGGGTGGAGGGGCTGTGTTGGGGATGGGGTGGAGGGGCTGTGTTGGGGATGGGGTGGAGGGGCTGTGTTGGGGATGGGGTGGAGGGGCTGTGTTGGGGATGGGGTGGAGGGGCTGTGTTGGGGATGGGGTGGGTGGGTGTTTGTTGATTGCAGGGTTGCGCATGCGTTTGCCCCCCCCCCCCGGTCTGCGCGCAAAGGCTGCTGGGGGGACGCGTTGCTAAGCAACGGGAGTGGTGGCGGCGGTGGGGAGAGGACACAGGAGAGCGGGCGGCCGGGAGGCCGGGGCTGGGCTGGTGGGCTGGGCTGCTGGGCTGGGCTGGGCTGGGCTGGTGGGCTGGGCTGGGCTGGCGGGGAGGATGGAGAGGATCACTCTGGGCCAGGACGCCCCGGCCGCTGTCGACGCCTATGTGGAGTACAAGAGGTCAGCGCCTCAACCCAAACCCCAGCGGATGCTCGGCTGCTCCTGGTGGACAGCGTCCGGTCTCTTCTCTCTCTCTCTCTCTCTCGCTCTCCGTTGCTTGTCCACCCTGTGGGGTGGGGGCCGCCCCTGTGCTGCCCTGTCCTGTCCTGTCCTGGGAAGCACTTTGACATCTCCTCACCCAGTCTGTCCGTACAGGGTCCTCCCCCCCCACCTTCACTCTCTCAATACAGGGCCTCCTGTGGCCATTCAACTCCTCATTCCCTCAGCACAGGGGTCCTTCACCCTTTCCTCTCGGGTCTCGCCCCCACTTTTTGTCACCATATTGGTTTCCCTCTCTGCTCCCCCCCCCCCCCCCCCCCCCCGGTCCCTATGTGCAGGATATACAGGATGGTTCCCCCCTACGAAGAATTATAATAATATAATAATCCTTTTTATATAGCGCCTTATCGCGTCTTAGAGATGTCATAAAGCGCTTCACAGAATATACTGTGAAGTGAATTGACTATATGTTGTGGGTGAAACGGGGCAGCCAATTATGCACAGCAGTGTCCCACAAACAGTCGTGGATTGAGTGACCAATTTTTTTAAAGGAATTATTACCCCCGGAAAAGTGATCTGCCAATCTACTAACAACCGGGTTCCTATTTACCGCTGGTAAACAGAGGCTTGTGGAGTAAGGAAATTTGCCCCATGTTTCACTCTGCGCGGAATCAAATCCAGGTCTCTCATTTGCGAGGCAAGTGCACGAGCCACTGAGCTTCAGAACTCCAGAATTGAATAGACATGGAATGGAAATGGACTATTCAGTTCAAATCTTTGTGTGTTTGGGTACATCTGCCTTTATCCTTCCTAATCCTCTCTCCCATACCAGTCTATTTCCTTCTCCCTCATGTATGCTTTTGAGTTTCCTCTTGAAGACAATGATGCTCTCTGCTGTAATTGCTACCCCAATGCATTAGTGTATTGCACATTCTCACCACATTGTGCAAAGATTATTATCCCATTTCCCCTTATTATAGGGTATCCCTCCTCTCAGCACAGGGTCTCATTCTCTCCTCTTCTACACTTCCCTCCACCACCCAAGGTGTCTTGTTTTACTTCCTACCCCCTCCCTCGCATAAAGCCTTTCCCTTCCTCAAAACCGGGTTTCCCCCTCAGTACAGAGTCCCATTAACCCACCACCACCGTCTCCAGTATCTCAGTACAAGGGCTCCTTCAGTCCCTGCTGCTTGTCTTCACCCTCAATACCACCGTCACTCCTGTCAAATCCTAGACTGCTTGCTACCAAACTGCTTGAGACAGCCTTCGACGTGTTAAGGGACTGTATCAAATGCAATCATTAATCTATCTCACTGGTGCAACCCCAGCTCTATAAAGACTAAAGCCTGTGTATCAGAGTATGTTTAGCTCTGGTTCATGGCTGCGGATGCTCTGAAGGCAGTGAATAGATTGCACTGTATATTTGAGACAATAGAATTTTTAGGGTGAAACATTTTGTTTATTGCCTCTAGCTTCGCGAGCAGTTTTATCAAAATTAAAGCTTTAGCTTTTTACATTAAGCCCCCAGTACTAGTTCACATTTCAGATTTAATTCCCACCCTATAAACATGACTTTTAAATTTTGCGAAAAAAATTCAAAGCAGAAAGATAAGAATTGCTTTCTTTGGAACTCTTAAAAAGTTTTTCTATTTTTTATCTTCATGTACTTCTGAATCTACAAAATAGTCAATTCACTTTAAAATATATTCTGGGAAGTGCTTTGAGATGTCTCAAAAATGTGATAAGGCGCTATATCAGATGTAAGGATTATTATTGTCTAAATATTTGACATGTTTATGAATTAAAAAGAATAGCTTTCCTTGTGTTCTCTTTGGTCATAGAATTGTCGGTGATGATGATGGTGGGATACTTTTTACACCAGAGGAGTATGAACAGTACAAGAAAGAAGTGCTGCCGATGCGATTAAAGAACCGACTGTTTGTTGCCTGGGCATCACCTAATGGTATAGATTGTAAACTAGTTGGTCCAGAGACTCTATGCTTTTGCAATCACAGGTATTGTAGAGAACTTTTTTGACTAAAATATTTATGCCATCAACCCCATTTCAGTCTTCCCACACTTCTTCCTTAAGCACCTTATTATGTGGGCGAGACGTCTCAAAGCACTGCACAGGATTTCCGCTGTTAAGTGTAGTGACAGGGTGTTTGTAGGTGAATAGTCTGGGTCATCTGAGCTCTTAACAATGGAATTCAGGACAAATGGCAAAAAATAGAAATATTCAAAATGATTTGTCTGCAAATTCTCAATGCTAACCCCAGGAGCTCTGTGTTTTGTTTACCATAAAGTCTCTAGATCATAGATGAAACATGAATGAAGCATGGATGTGACTTTGACAGGATTCTCTTCTAATGAAGGGAGCCCTGTCAGTCACATCCATGCTCTAGATGTACGTACCTTTCATTGGAGTCCTGTTCATCACACCTTTACTCAACAAACTTTATGCTAAGAAGTTCCATATTTGAGATTCAAACTAGATCCTTAAAAAATTGGTTTATTTTTAATTGCAGAAATGTCCTGATGACTCCGTCCTGGCTTAGCTAGTCACTACCACTTAAGTCATCATGCTGTCAATATCTCTGCCACATTTATTTGTGTATTTATACATATGTCTAACTCATCACTGAGCCCTTTTCCCTTGTAGGAACAGGTTATCAAAAGTTTACTGCATTTTTTTGCCTTAGTTTCTTATTTTTAAGAGTCAGCCTAGTAGCACTCCCATCTTTGAGTCAGAAGGTTATGGGTTCAAGCCCCATGTCAGGACTTTGAACTCATACAATCTAGACTGGTGAGTGTGCTGATTTGTTGGAGATGCTGTCCTTGAGATAAGACATTAAACTGAGCTTCCGTCTGCCTGTTCAGTGAGACGTTAAAGATCCCATGGCACTATTTGAAAAATAAGTTTTCTATGGTGTCCCAGTCAACAATCTCTTTTTGCTTTCGATATAACTCATACATTTGTTTTGTTTCTATTTCATTACTTTTTTGTCTTTGCACTCAGATTCTGATCCTGTAACATTTGCACATTGATCTGTTTGAACACAAGCCCTTAGCTTTGCTCCTACTGCTAACTGTGTCTATAATCTCATTCCCAGCCCCTTCCTTGTTGACTCATCAGGAGTCAGTCCATTGGTGGAGATGAAGTTTGCTGGAGTAGTCCAGCATTATTGGAGGTTCTGTTCTTTGGATTTTATGTTAAACCGAGGACCTCTCTGCCTACTCAGGTAGATGTTTAAGATCTCATGGCCACTATTCAAAAGGAGAAGGGTGAATGCCTCAGATAGTCAGTCATGTCATGACTGTTTCTGATACTTTGTTATCCAGAATTTGGCTGCCATATGTGCCTGCAAATATACAGTCACCTCATTGTAAAATTCTGTGAAGTCCTTTGATTTGTTTTGGCATCATAATGCACTATATAAAATACAAGGGATTATTAATACCAACAGCTTCTTAGAACTGGATGGGGGTGGGGGGGTTGCTAAACTGCACTGTGGAAATTTTATCAGCTGTTTCTATAATATTTATAAATATTTACCAAGATAGATACTTTTGTTGAAATATATCTGACAAAAACAGTGATTCCATATTACAGTGTATGAGATGATTTATTTTAAAAATTACAATTCTAAAATGGGGTAGAGAAGAAAGATAGTACTAGTGCTACAGCACATTTTATATAAAAGAAATTTGTTTGGAATGAGATTTCTTTACTCATTTAGCATCTCATACTCATCTAGTGTGTCATGAGTCACTGCTATAACTGGTTGGGCATTAATTGACTTAATCGTTTAATACTGTATCTGAAATAGATAAATTACTTCCTTAAACAATCATTTTTAGCTCTGTGCGTGCATGAAATAGCCGAAAGTTCTATATCTATATATATATATATATATGTATATAAACACATAAGGGGATCTCAGCTGTTACCGCAATTGTAATTAAACTTTAAATGCTCCATGTACTCATCCAGCTGGGTGAAGATACACTCTGTTATCTTCACAGGTATAAGCAACACAAAACCGATTTTAAAGAAATTCCACGAGAACGTCCAATTTTGTTGCCCTGCAAAGTCCATGGCTGCAGGTGTATTTCCTACAATTATGTGCCACTGAATGGAACACAGCCAATTCGCTGCAGGTGTAAACATTTTAGTGAAGATCATATTGAAGTTTCACCATTTAAATGTAACAAATGTAAGCTTCTGTTTACTGTCTTTCTTGTATTTGTCTAGATTTGCAGAAGAACAAGAGCATCATCAGCATGGAAACATCAGAACCTCCAAATTTCTCTCCATGTCACACACCATCACTTGTTTTATTTTTTGCCGCTCCTTCATTGTCACTGTGTCCAAATCTTTGAACTCCCTACTGAAAGGCTAGTGGGAGCACAAGGATTGCAGTGTTTAAAGAGAAGTCTTGTACCACCACCACTGCCATCTTAGGTTAACTGGAGATAGCAATGAATGCTGTCTCTGCCACACCTCAAGAAAAAAGTAAAAAGAGGGTCGTTCATTATTGAAAAAGAAGCATGGCGTAAATGTGAAAAGTAAAAAAACAGAATCAGCATTTTAATCAGGTTAACATATCTCGGATAATTATTTGGAATGCTGTTGATGTGTACGTACAGATTACAGTATCCATTAGGAGAAATTAGCACCAAATGTAGGAGAAATAGCTCATGCTTGACAAATCCACTAAAATCCTTTGGAATCTAGATTAGTTCACAACATGGATGTATCCTTCTAGGATGTTAGTACCTGACTGCTAGAATGTAAGTAAGACAATCAGATCAACTCTTCAAATATTTTCATTCTTTCCTTGGAAAGCTTTTCCTTATAAACTGGGCGAGTTCAGAAACTTGCTGCGTTATTGCACATTCCCACCCCCATCCTCGAAGACTTATCCAGTATGTTAACATATTAAGATGACTATTGTTTCTAGATTATTTCAACATAATGTAGCAACCTTCTTTATTGGCAAAACCTCCCTTAGTACAGTTCTACAGTAAGTTACATTCTGTTCTGATGTGCTTTGCAATGCATTGATTTTTTTTGTTTAAAGATGTTTGTTTCTTACAGGCTCAAGTTGTACTGGATTCCACAGTCCCTTTACCTGTGGTTGTGGGGAGCCAACTTATGCTCATGAAATGATAATTGAGACCAAAGAGGAGCGCACGGCTAGGGGAAGATCAACAGGTCACGACACCCCGTTTGCTGCAATGGGAGGACTCACTGGATTTAATGCCTTGGCGGACGGATATATGCGACTTGATAAAAGTGGAATTGGTTTGTGGTTTCATTGTTGTTTATGCAGTAAATATAAGATAAGAGACATTACAATTGTTACCCTGGCTGTGTAAGCTGGCACTCACATTGGTAATGCACCCAAGGTTGATAAATTTACTAATGATCATAGAAGTATCTACCTGCAGAGGACAGGATCAAGATTGAATGTTTAAAAGAGAGAGAAACAAATACTTGGGAATTGGATGTTTAAAGAGGTAGACAGATTTGGGGGAACTAGATGTGAAAGGGCAGGGCATTGGATTTAAAGGTCTGCCAAGATCCACTGCTGTCCTGACAGAATGTGTGTCAGACATCAAGTCCTGGATGAGAGCTAACTTTCTTCAGTTGAACATCAACAAGACTGAGGCTCTCCTGATTGGCTCTCATCAGCGCCTCCACACCTCAGATGCTGACATCATCACCGTCCACGGTTACACACTCCACTTTACTAAGCCGGTCCAGAATCTTGGGGTCTTGTTTGACCCTCAACTATCCTTTCTGCCGCACATCTGTGCCATGACCTGCTCTGCTTTCCCCCACCTCCACAACACCCGGCTCTGCCACTGTCTCACACCGCAGGCCACCGAAACCCTCATACACACATACATTGCATCGAGGCTCCTTGCATGTTGGCCTCCCCAACTCCTCCCTCCATAGGCTGTATATCATCCAGAACAATGCAGCCCATGTCCTCTCCCGAACCAGGCAGCGTGACCTTATCACCCCCATCCCCGCCTGACTCCACTGGCTTCCCATCACACAGAGGATACAGTTCAAGATCCTGGTCCTCACCTTCAAAGCCCTCCATGGCCTTGCTCCCCCCTAACTTTGTGACCTCCTAACCCCCTACCATCCTGCTCGTTCCCTCCGCTCAGCAGCTCCAGCCCGCTTCACGTCCCCTGCCTCGCCCGCCCTACCATTGGCAGGCAGGCCGTCAGCCACTCTACCCCCACCCTCTGGAACTCCATCCCACAGTCCCTCCGCCTCGCCCCTCCCTTGACTGCTTCAAGATCCATCTCAAGACCCTCCTCTTCGACCGTGCTTTTGATCACCCTGCTCCCCATTCCGACCCCCCGACGTGAAAGGCGCTGGCTCACTTGATAGCATTTGACTCTGAGTCACAATCTAAACTGACACCCCAGTGCAATCCTGGTGCTCCATTATCAGAGGAACCATCCGTTGGAGGTGACATGAAACCAAGGTTCAGTCACAATAAAGATCCAGGGCACAATTCGAAAAAAAAGAGTCATTCACTTCAAGGCTATCTTGTGGGACATTCCTGTGCACAAATTGGCTGCCGAGTTCACTTACAAATATGCAGTCACTATGCTTTGCATTGAAGTCCTGTGAAGTATTTTGAAACATTTCAACAACATAAAAAGGCGCTTTATCAAATGCAAGGATTAGTATTGTAAGACTAGAATTAACACAGAACTCAAGCTTACAGACAGCAACAAAAATTGTTGGAATTTTTATTGTTGTGAGCGATTGCCTTACGTTGTAGAAATCTGTTTAAGCACAAAGAGCAATGCCATTTCCAAAGTAGAGACAAAAATGGCAAATAGTTTATAACTAAGTACTTAGAGCAGGCATTATTTTTAAGTAGCTGGGTAAATGATTCCTGAAGTTCAATTCTAATATTGCATTTGCGTTTCAAGTCTTGTTTTCCTTAGAAATTACTGTCATCGCCAATAACGACAACAACAAAAACAAAATTACATTTGTATGGCACCTTTCACGTCGGGAGGACGTCCCAAGGCGCTGGACAGTCAGAGTTTTGGACCCGAGCTGGGGGTCGGGATTGGGGAGGGTGGAGGGCAGGGGGGGGAAGGAGGGTGATTGAAATCATGGTTGAAGAGGAGGGTCTTGAATGAGGCTTGCAAGGGAGGGGCGAGACGCAAGGTCTGCGAGATGGAGTTCCAGAGAGTGGGAGTAGAATGGCAGAAGGCCTGCTAAAAAAAGGTTAAGCAAAAGGGAAAAAACAAGGGAAATATTTGGTTAATTTGAATACATTTCATGATTACATTTACCAATGAAGATAATTTTTTCAATAAATAATTAGATACATTTTGAAGGACACTATTGCTATTGAAATTCAACATGAATAGTTTGCAGAAAATTCTGGTGTATAATGGCGAGACAATATTAGATCATTTTATCCGATTAAAACATTTCCAGGTTTTTCCACTGTAACTTTAATCTATTGATTGTATTAGGCCATGCAAGTCATGATATTCTTGAAGAAATCAGTTCTCCAGTAGATCATCCTTTCTTGAGAGCTTATGCACCACCAGATCCCGATGCAGAAGCTGGCAAGTTATCAGATTCTAATAAATGACACAAAATGTATTATTATTATTATTTAGGATTATTATTATTTATTTATTAAAAAAGCAAAGTTGCACTGTTTTGGTTTGTTTAAATTGCAGGGTAACCCCGTTACAATGTAGCGTAACTGGATCCAAAAAACAGATATGGCGTTATAACGGATCCATTTAAAAAAAAATGGCTCCCATCCTTCTGCATGCAGCAAGTAGCATCAGGGATGCTTCCTGTGCATGGCATTCAAGCACGCATTAAACAGTTAGTGCCAGAGGCCAATTCTACTGCCCTGGTATAGTTTGGGTCCACTGTCAACTCTATAGTGAAACCATGCCTAACTGATATGTATTTTAACGGGGTTCCTGTGTATCAATAAATCAAATGATTTGTTGCTGAGGTAATGTCGAGCACCTTGGGATGTCCTCCCTACGTGAAAGACGCACTATAAATGTAATATTGTTGTTGATTACCATTCTAATCAGTAGAGTGATGAAAGCAGAAATTAATGAAACCAATCGCTCAAGTTTTTTGGGAGATATTACGGTTAAAATATATATGCCAGCAGGTTTTCGTGGAAAAACATGAATAAAATACATTTCATTACGTAGATAGATAAAATTATTTGTGATGTATCTATTGAACCATGCACCTAAAATTAATGAAAGATGTGGTCAGCCTTTCCTTGGACATTGGCCCACAAAATATACAGTTAATTCACTTTACAGTATATTCTATGAAGCGCTTTGAGATGTCTCGAAGATGCTGGTATTATTATTATTGTTCATGTATGCATTAGGGTTAGGGAAGTGAATGCGAAAAGCACTCTGGTCATTCATGACTCTCTGAATGATAGAACATTTCCCATTGTGGGTTAAGATTGTGGAACATAAAACCAATGTGGCCAGACAATTGGTCTTCATGTTTTATAGCTCCTGGCATACAAGCAGTCAGGTGAATATGTAGCAAAAAGGAGAAGCAGCTGCAGACAGGATGGGTTTTGGCCTACAATAAAGTGTTGCTCGGCATCCTGAAAGTGGAGTCAGCTTCATTGGGGCCCGTCACAGAGGGCCTGCATTAAGCAGTTGGTAATGAGTAATGGTAGGCAGCATTGGATTTGAACCTCTAGAACATCAAGGTGGCTGGCACATCACAAATTGTCCTTCAACAATACAGATGGCCAATGAATAGTTGATGAGGAACATGATAAGATGAAGCTTCGGCCGATAATTGCTAACAGGCATTGCCGAGATTCCTGATTTGTGAACACGAGCTCATGTATCCAGGGTTTCAGCCTATCTTTATTGCGTGCAGAAAGATATACAATTTCTGCTGAAGTTCTGAATCATAACCTAATGGAATCACTGTTCAGTGGTTTATGGGGGGAAGAGTGGACGAGGAGTGTCTGGCTGTGGACAGGAGAATGGTGGCAGTGTATTCACAAACATTTATTTATTTTGATCAGCCAGAACTGACTCATGCAGAAATCCAGCACCATTGCTTGCCAGATGTCTAACGACAAACTATTGACTAACCTTGGAGGGAGAGATGAGTCAGATCTCTCTAGGACTGACTTAGCTCCAAGTTGACAAACCTGGCAATGGAAGATAAGAATCAGTCAATCCTTTATGCCAGGCTAAATCCCAGTGTGTTTGGAGCTGTTAATAATAAACCAGCTTTTTATCAGTCTGTCTGTATTTAGAAAAGAAAAGCAGTCACAGGGGGATTCTTCCCACTCAGTTACTGTTAAATCTGCAAGTTAAAGCCCTAACAAGCAGGGTAGCCTAATTAGGTAAGCAACAGGAAGCTTAACAGTTCATTTCAGTGGTAGGCTGTGTTGTTGTAGTTGTTTAAACTCCAGCAGTACTCCAGGGCACACTCTGGGTTCCTCAAACCTAAATTCTCCAGGGGGAAACAGGGTGTCTCCCTTTGGAGAAAGAGAGAGAAAGGGAGTGCATATTCCATACAGACAAAATGTATCCATGGATAGGTGGAATTCTCAATAGTTTAGTTTGGAGACTCGAGCATGATGATGGGTTTTCATTCCAACGTTATGGATCTGTTACATATGTTGAATACCCAACCAAACCATTGTCACTTACTGTACAAAATGCACTCAAATGATCAGATCGCTACTTATAAATACGGTGAAGGATTCTTAACTATAAAAAGTTGATTATTTTCCTACTATATATATAATAAAACCTTTTGTTTTTTATGTTGTGAAATTAGTACACTTGGCAATGTATTGGTAAGTTTATACTGCTAAAACAACTAAATTGTTTGAAAAGTCCAGTATAAAACAAGTGAAGTATAAGAAAAAATACCTTGAATACACAAGAATTGAGAGGAATGGAGAAACCTTAATTAGCTGAAATCTACCTTTGAGTTGCTGTTTTTGCATCACAGTACAAACAAATTGTACTCTGGATTATTTTATTTATCTTTAATGAAAAGAAGCAATCAAAATTAATTTGAGGGGAAAGGTTCTGGGTTTGAGCTTTGGTCGTTGCTGCATTAGGATTATTCTTGGCTCTGAAGCTTTTGGCTTCAGAATAAATAGCTTTGGGTTACGAAAGGGAAAATTCAGAAGTGATGGCTATTGTTGATGCTACAACAGAAATTTCGGCTCAGAGGGAGGTCTAATCGGCAAGGTGGGGAACATTCAGAATCTAATATCTCCTCTCAGTAGATTTTCACACATTTGATATACCTCCTCTTTACAGTTTCATTTTTGACATAACACAAAACTTTTTCTATCTATACCCAGAAAAGATTAGGCTGTTTACTCATGATAAGCACACATTATTTTGCTCATTTCAGATATTCTACAAATTCATATTCCAGATTTCACACATTCCTTTGCACTATTTTATTTCTACAATTTAACAATATTTCAACAGTATAGACGATTGGCCATACAAGTTAAGGTAGGCATTGCATTTTGCAACAATTTATAGAACTATTTCCCAAGGAAACAAATGTGTTTTCCTCCACTTCCCCGCCTACATACACATCCAACACACATTCACTTTGTTTGGTGGTTGGGAAAGCAGTGTAAAAAGTGGAGACCCACACACACACACAAAACTTGCATACTGTACTTAAGCAATCGCAAAGACATCTGAAAGAATCGAAAATAATTTTAATGTAAACCCAGTATCCGCAATATACGTAGGATATAATGTCTTTGAAAAACAAATGGCAAGAATTGTTGCACTCAATCCCCAGTAAATTAAAAGCATTGTAGGACTTTTTATTGCTATTGATACCAAATTATCTTGCATATAATATAGTTGTAATTTATTTATGGAAATACTAGCTGTACCTGGTGTAGCTACGTTTGCAACCAGTTTCATTTAGTCGGCCAATGAAAGGCTTAGTATCAATTAACTTTTTGTATCTCTGCAGGTGTGTCTGGTTTAAGCAAATTTGCACATCTTCCCACAGCTGAGGAAAGAGACATGGCTTATTTTGAAAGTCGATACCAGGAACGGGTATGTTCACATAAGTCTAGTAAGAATACAACAGATATTACAGAGTGCTTTATAAGTTTACAATACATTTTGTTCCTAAGAGGTTGTTTTGGACCACAAAGCTTACTGAAACACTTCCAGGAATTCAACTACCTTGTAAAGAATTGAGCAGATATGGGGTAGATCAATGGGTAAATATTGCATTATATATACCAACAGTCCCTTCACCACTCTCCCTCCCTTGCCTCATTCAAGGCCCGTCTCATGACGTTCCTCATCAACCATGCATTCGGTCACGTTCCTACCCTCACCCTCCTTGCCCTCCTGATCCCAACCCCCAGCTCGGGTGCAAATCCTTGACTGTCCAGCTGGGACATTCTCCTGATGTGAAAGGGCTACACAATTGTAATTTGAAAGGACGTCCAAATGTACACATACAAATGTAATTTGTTGTTATTGGATGCTCTACATTCTGATTTCTAAGAGCTAGGCACAATAGAGAATTTTACTACAATTGATGAAATGCACACACTTTGAAACAGAAAGTTATTACTTCAAAGTCATGGAAATTTCTAATAAGCGATTAGCCTGCATACCACAATGACTGTGGGTCACCTGAAATGAATTGAGTGTACAAACAACTCTGATGCATCAACAACCCCCCACCCACCCATACACACACACACACACAAATGTGATAAAATCATTATCAGAACTGGCTAATGTTGTAATGTAAGATGATGTGTAATTTTCATTTTCTTTCTGTTTGCATTTAGTACGTGAGGATGTAAAGATGCATTTTAAAATCCTGCTGCATTTTGAATATATTCAACTTTGTGGAAATTCTCTCAGTCTTTCACAAACCAAATGATCAGGGGAGACTGCAGGACACTCTGTAGTAATTATAGAATAATAGATTATTACAGCGCAGAAGGAGGCCATTTGGCTCATCGTGCCTGTGCCAGCTCTTTGGAATAGCTATCCAATTAGCCCCACTCTTTCCCTATATCCTTGCAATTTTTTACTTTTCAAGCGCCTACCCGGGTTAAGGAGTGAGCTACGAGCAATAATTAGCAATAATCTAGGTTAGAGCTCTTCAATTTTGAAAAGGGATCTCAGAGAAGACCTTTTAGATTTTAAATGGGATTGGGGATCTAAGTCCAGTCCAATACTTTCAGATATATCAAGATAGCAGAACATGAGGACACATGTTTAAAGTTAAAAGGGACAATTTCAGGATAAACTGTAGGAAGTATTTCATTACCCATAGAGTAACATAACCAGGTGATTACGAACCTCTCTTGAATTTTTGAAGAAGTACAATTTATGAACTAGATGATGTAATGTAAATTCATTCTTAGATGGTTTTGTGCTGGTGGTGTACATTGTGATTTTGTTCAATAAATGTTCATTAATTATATCCCTGATTGCTACATTATATTTATGACTTAATACTTAGCTTTTTGTATTCTAGCTGAAATGGGAAAGGCAGGCAAAGAAACAAAAAGAACGTATCAAACCTGAAGGAAATATTTCACAATTGCCAAATTCTCCAAAAGAACCAAAAAAATGAAGGTGGTAACAGATGAAACGAATTTCAACAAGCCTCTTTTTTTCCACTGGTACATCAGCACGTAATTGTCAGCATGTAATTGTTGAAATAAACAATGTAAACAGTTACTGTCATCACAATTTTGTGTTTGAAACTGTTAACTGAATTTCATGAACACGTCTACTGTAATGTCATCTCTATACAAATAAAACCTTGGATGTGAAAATTGTAAACCATTTGAATGCTTGCAGAAAGCTAAATACTGAGATATTAAGAAATAATAACCTATTGTAACAACAAATAACTGAAAATTCACCGCAATTCTGATGTTTTTGTTATAATTAGCATTGTTACACAATTCATTTACCAAAAAGAGAATGCAGGTTATCTGAGTCAGTAACCTTACCTTCTCTGACAGCATAGGTAGAAATGTGGCATTTTTGCTAAAAAATCAGCTAAGAAAAATGAACTGCTCTTATGCTTTTACTGGATTGCAAATCAGCGGGTAAAACTTCAAATGTAGGTCTTCAAATGTGATCAGCTAGAGAATAAAATTTACATTTACAACAACAACAAGATTGCACTTATAGAGCGCCTTTCACGTCGGAAGGATGTCCCAAGGCGCTGGACAGTTGGGTCGGTACCCGAGCAGGGGGGAAATGGTCAGGTTGAGGGGAGGGAAGGGAGGGAGCGAGGAGGGGGTAGAGAGTCGAGAGGGGAGCTGAAGGCACGGTTGAAGAGAAAGAGTTGAGAGGAGAGCTGAAGGCGTGGTTGAAGAGAAGATATTTATATACCACCTTTCACATCTGGAGGACATCGCAAAGTGCTTGACATTGACAGAAGAGCACCCACGCTGGGGATGGGAGTCTAGGGGATGGGGAGGGAAATGCCTGAAAGTTCAGTCAAAGAGGTACGTTTTGAAACATGCCCTGAACAAAGGGAGCAAGCAAATTGGTGGGTCTCTGGGATAGATTTCCAGATAGCGGGCAGAAAAGCTGAAAGCCTGCTTGCGAATGGTGGGGCAGATCGGGCGGAGGACATGAAGCATGCCAGTGTTTGCCGAGTAAAATTGACAAAAAGCATGATACAGTAAATCATAATTGGAGAGGGGAATTTTCCAGTGAGTAGTAATGGTACTCCTGGAATTTGTTTAACAGAAATAATTAAAAATACAATAAAACTAGAAACTCAGGCATTGAAACAAATAACAAAACAAAGATGTGAGAAACATTGACAACGTTGAATGGGGGGGATCTTCTCTATCAAATTTGGAAAGCAGAAGCTCAAATAATGAGAATCACTGCTTGAGCCATCAGGACTATGAGATGTTCCATGTAGTCTGCGAAATCTTCCTCAATAGAGGAGAATCTGGTATATATTGTGGAGACATGTTGATCCAAGGGGCTGGGATTGTAGAGATACAATTCTATAGGGATAGATGCGTATTGGACTTGAGGTAAGATAAGAGAATCTGAGAGAAAATTTCGTATTTGTAAATAAATAAAATTCTGATGTGGAACCTGGAACTTCTCCTTTACAGGAGTCCTGTAGCTCAATGGTTAGAGCACTCGCTTTGCAAGCGAGAGACCTGAGTTCAATTCCAGGCAGGGCGAAACCTTGGGCAAGTTTCCTTACTCCACATGCCTAATAATAATCCCTCCAAAACCAAAATCAATAATAAATTAGTCATTTTCAATCCACGACTGTTTGTGGGACATTGCTGTGCGCAAATGGCTGCCGCGTTCGCCCACAAATATACAGTCAATTCACTTTACAGTGTTCTGTGAAGCGCTTTGGGACGTCCTCCCAACGTGAAAAGCGCTATATCAAATGCAAGGATTATTATTATTATATTATTATTTAGCTGTTGAAAGGTGATCATTTGTATTTGTAATTCAAGTCTCCACCTATAGATTTTGGGTGACCCCTATTTGGAGAGAGGAGTATCCCCAGATTTTAAGAAGTGGTTATCTTGGCCTCTTCCTATTTTCTCATCCAGGACTTGTTATCTAACTAAAACAGCAGTCGTTCTGGAAACGAGGGTGGAGGCAGAGATAAAGTTGGGTGTCATCCACATACACGTGGAAGTTAATTCCATATCTACTGATGTCTTCGCGGAGCGGGAGCTTGTAGATATTAAAAAGGAGAAGACCAAGGATAGAACCCTGAGGAATGCCACACGTGACAGTGCAAAGATGGGAGGAGAAGCCATTTGAAGAGACAAAGTGGAGACGTTGGGATTAGTAACATTGAACCTTAATTATGACAAGTGGGATCAGAGGAGGCAGAGAAGGTCTTACAAATAGAGCTTGATTGTGCAAGCACGCAGGCTAATGACTGGTAAATTAAGTTCAATACAGAAAAAAGTTACTGCAAATGCCGACTAAAATAGGAGAAATGGGCTTCGCTCGCTGGTGAGTGACTGTGGCCGGGGGTCTGGGCTAATGACAGCCCCCACCCGGGGACAGGCTCTGCTGCTGAGATTGAGGTTGTCAAAGGACGTGGAGTACTGTAGCTCAGTGGTTAGAGCGCTCGCCTCGCAAGTGAGAGCCCTGGGTTTGATTTCCGGCAGAGCGAAACCTTGGGCAAGTTTCCTTGCTCCACATGCCTGATAATATTCCTTCAAGAAAAAGTAAAAAAAATAAATTGGTCACTTCAATCCACGACTGTTTATGGGACATTGCTGTGCGCAATTGGCTGCTGTGTTTTGCCCACAAATATACAATCAATTCACTGTATATACTGTAAAGCACTTTGAGACGTCTGGAAGACGTGAAAAAGCGCTATATCAAACTCAAGGATTATTACTATTATTGTCTGTGCGCATGTCTGTGTGTGGGGGTGTGGGTGCTTTGCTCTCTGTGAGTTTGTATCTTTCTCAACAATTTATATAGCGCCCTTCAAGCGGGGTAGCGTCCCGGAGCGCTCTCTGGGTGTCTGTGTGCGGTGGTGGGCCCCGAGAGGTAGGAAATGGTGACCTCCTGGAGCCCCGGGGTCAGGACGCTGGCGAGCTTTGCGAGCAATGCTGGTGTTCGGGGGATCTCCAGGCCTTCAAATGTAGTATGGGGTGGAAATGGACCATTCAGCAATTCACTAGTGTTTTACCCCCCCAAGTGGGCCACCCAGTTTATGTTAAAGAATGCATTATATTTTTTGCAACAAATGTATGATGTGTTATTTCTTTATGTTTAGTTTTTATCATCAGTGAAAAAATGTAGCTTAGCATTAAAATGTCTCTCAAGATAGCAATCAACTCCCCACAATTTTCTGCATAATTTGTCAAATTTTTCTGCAAATTTTCTATTAATTTTCATGATTAATTCACATAGATGATTTGATATTGCAGCACATTTTGCACCTCAGGATATTTGAAACCTGCCAATGTAAAAATGGAACATTGTACAAATCCAAATAGTCTGTTTATTAGGTTTCGCCGACAAATACAGTCAAATCAGTTTACAGTATATCCTGTAAAGCGCTTTAAAACGTCTCAATAATGTGACAAGTTGCAATAATAATAATAATCCTTGCATTTGATATAGCGCTTTTGTCCCAAAGTGCTTCACAGACACACTGTAAAGTGAATTGACTATATTTGTGGGCGAACGCGGCAGCCAATTGCGCACAGCAATGTTCAACAAACAGTCGTGGATTGAAAATGACCAATTTTTATTATTGTTTTTGGTTTGGGAGGGATTATTATTAGGCTCTGTTTGGAGTAAGGAAACTTGCCCAAGGTTTCGCCCTGTGCCTGGAATTGAACTCAGGTCTCTCACTTACAAAGCGAGTGCGCTAACCACTGAGCTACAGGACTCCAATATCAAAATCAAGGACTATTATTATTTGCATCAACAACTTGCTGATGAGAGGCAGGTTGTTTAGGAGGGGCAGCAGGAGATTGGGTGGGTTCACGTCCAATTAGACGTGTTTTTGTTGTAATACGCGTGAAAAAAACGGCTTTAGTCGGGTGTGTAATTTGATTTAAAATTGGGAACCTGCGAAATGTGCTTTTTTTTTCCCTTTGAAGACCTTTTCTTACAGTTTCGAAAGCACTAAACCTAAATCGGCCATTCTCCTGCTTATGACTTGTGATATTGGGGCTAACATTTGGGGTTAGAAAACGTGTCTTAATTGCTGGCAAAGAGCCAAGAGGCAGAGTGGCTGCAGTTGCAGGAGGTGAGGTAGTTACAGCAAAGCCCAGTGGTTGCAGGCAGGTGGAGTGTAGCTGTCACGGTGGTTTGCAGGGAGCGGTGCGGTGCGCTAACAGGTGGGGAGGGTGAGCCCGTCCCGTGGTTCAGCCTCTTCATCGCACGTGTTGGACGGCACGAGAGGCTCTGGGTGGAACGTGGCCCGGGGCGGGGGGGCGCGAGGCTCTGGGTGGAACGTGACCCGGGGGGGCGCGAGGCTCTGGGTGGAACGTGGCCCGGGGGGGCGCGAGGCTCTGGGTGGAACGTGGCCCGGGGCGGGGGGGCGCGAGGCTCTGGGTGGAACGTGGCCCGGGGGGGCGCGAGGCTCTGGGTGGAACGTGGCCCGGGGGGGCGCGAGGCTCTGGGTGGAACGTGGCCCGGGGCGGGGGGGCGCGAGGCTCTGGGTGGAACGTGGCCCGGGGGGGCGAGGCTCTGGGTGGAACGTGGCCCGGGGAGGGGGGGGCGCGAGGCTCTGGGTGGAACGTGGCCCGGGGCGGGGGGGCGCGAGGCTCTGGGTGGAACGTGGCCCGGGGGGGCGAGGCTCTGGGTGGAACGTGGCCCGGGGGGGGGGGGGGGCGCGAGGCTCTGGTTGGAACGTGGCCCGGGGGGGGGGGGCGCGAGGCTCTGGTGGAACGTGGCCCGGGGGGGGGGGGAGGGCGCGAGGCTCTGGGTGGAACGTGGCCCGGGCGGGGGGGGGAGGGCGCGAGGCTCTGGGTGGAACGTGGCCCGGGGGGGCGAGGCTCTGGGTGGAACGTGGCCCGGGCGGGGGGGGGAGGGCGCGAGGCTCTGGGTGGAAGCTCGAAGCTACTCTTCAGCCCTTTGGTATTGAACCCAATGCTTTGTGTACGGACACAGGGGATTGCGCGAACTGTTTGCTCTTGAAACGGGGGGGAGGCGCGGTCAGGAGACGTTGGCATTCGGGTTATTTCTCTATCTCTGAAAACAGTGAGCAACGATAAGGGTCGCCCAGAGGTATTGTATCTTTAATTGCAGTCCGTCTGTCTGTGCGGCTCAGGCTCAGTGTTTCACAAGGAACCATCATTGTGCTCCACGTTAGTGTTTTATATTTATATTTATATATATCTGCAATCAGAGGGACTCAAAACGCCCTCCACAAAACTATTAGATTTAGACAATTAAAACTGCTTTAGGCTTTCAGCTTTGACAAAAGCAAACCATATAGGAGCAATAAAGCTGCCATATCAGCATTAGCTTTATTATAGTAATATATCCAAGCTTTTTAGATACAATACTTTTTTTTTATTTTGATTTCTATTTTCCCCATTCTTTATTATTTTTACTTGAGCTTTGTACTTTTTCTATACTCCCTCTCAACACCACCGCACACACTTTATAAATCCAGATTCTTGTTTCTACTTCTGTCCTGAGCACCGACATTTTCGAAATGGGCAAAATACAAAAAGTTATGTCTTGATTGACCGAAATGAGCTCAAAGATGAGAAGACTAGTGATTAACTATTGGACAAATGCATTTCAATCTGATGTGTCAAAAGTGTCAAACTGGGAATAATTGAAGCGTATTTTGGGGCCCTCAACCCAAGGTGGGACTTGCTAAGTAAAGGTTTAAAAGTATTTATTAATTGGAAAGGTTTCACACGGGAAGCACTTTTTGTAGATAACTGAGTACAGTGCAACTATTGTGTGTGAAATGAATACTTTTGCTTGTGTATGGATGCTACTGGAGAATTTACGTAGGGTCATATTTTAGAATTCATTTTTAAATTACATTTTTGAGAATTCTGCAAACTTGTTTTTGTTATAAGTAGATTACAGTAATCTGCTGATCGCCATACTTTTCCTGGATCGTCTTTAGCACCTTTTACACTTTGCTTATGTGGATGGTCTGGGTGTACAAATGTGCTGCACCAATATGGATTGGTGACGGGCTCAACAAATGGTTCAAGGCATTTAGACTTATAATCACAGGACTGGAGGGAGAGAATAGGTCAGGTTAGAGGTCAGCATTGATGAGAAAGTAGAAGAAAGTTGTTGGGGGTCACCTTATCTGATATGAAGACATAAAGAAAATAACTGGCATCCATTTTAAGTTCTAAAATGTCATTCCATATTTCAAGGATGTGAACTTTTGTTGACGCATGACACTTATTCCTGGATTTCTTCCAAAACCTGATCTTGTAGCAAACGATAACAATGGTAGTGCACAAAGGGCCTGTCTCAACCTTTCCAGGAAGAAATAGTATGTTCCTGACTTTGTATTAAAAATGAGCAATATGCAATAAGCAGTGTGCTTAAAGGTATGTTGTAAGTTCTTTATCTAAACAGTGTGGTATACAGAGAATTGAAAAATGGGCACTAGTTGTTGTTTTTGTCAATAAGAATATCTACACCCTCTTACATTGTGTAGGAGGAAATGGGGATGACTTTAGTTTGGAAGGGAATGCAAAGAAACAAACAGTATCAAAAAAATGACCTTTCATATTTGTTTAGCAACTTGTTGAGGAATGGATGATGGAAGAGAAACGAACACTTCGGATGGCAAAGGTCTGTAACTCACAGTTGTTACTGGAGTTTTTCCATGTTTTTCTTATAAATCAAGGGAATTCCTGAAAACTAGTCATTCCAAGGGAAAAGGGTTCATTGACGATGTATCTGGAGTGGAAAATTGGGGATGTGGATAAATATATAAGTAAATGTGGTAGGGATATTGATAGCATGATAACTTAAGTGTGAATGAAAGATTAAGGATAGGTTGGTGGGACAGGAGAACGCAATCGCCAGCAGAATGCATAATCATTGGACTTTGCAATGTGTCCTAGTGAGGCACTTTGAGATTGCTGATCGATGTGAAAGGAGCTGTATCAAATGCAAGGATTATTATTTATGTTGGGGGGGACGCGGGTTTGACCCCCAATTCTTCTGGGACATTCGTTTGCTGCTATCAATATACCAAGGTAATAGTCAGTATATTTCAATACATTCTTGATTGATCAGTATAAGCCTTGGAGCATTAGACATCTCATTCAGTGCTTGTGGTTCTTCCCTCCCCCATTTACCTTCCTCAAATCTGTTTTCGTATTTTATCTGATTTTCAAGAGACACATCTTTTTGGGGGCATTGACTGTGTGGCTTAATGTAAACCGTGTATACAAATAATAATCATCCTTGAGTTTGATTTGTAAAGTCAAAACATCTCAGAAGTATCTCACAGGTAATTGTGGCCAAGTGATTGCATTTACAGGCAAACGTGATCTTCAATTTTCGTATAGGGGTATTTAAACTAGCCATACAATGAATAATAATAATCCTTGCATTTGATATAGTGCTTTATCACGTCTTCGAGATGTCTCAAAGCGCTTCACAGAATATGCTGTGAAGTGAATTCACTGTATATTTTGTGGGGTGAAACGCGGTAGCCAATTGTGCACAGCAGTCCTGGATTGAGTGACCAATTTTTTTTAAGGAATTATTACACCGTAAAAGCGATCCGCCAATCGATTAACCACCAGGTTCCTACTTACTACTACTTACAGAGGCGTGTGGAGTATGGAAACTTGCCTAACGTTCCACACTGCCGGGAATTAAACCTTACGAGGTCTCTCGCTTGCGAGGCGAGTGCTCTAACTACTAAGCTACAGGACTTCACAGGAATGAATAATTAATGTGAAGGAACAAGCGGGCATGGCACCTGGAAAAACTTATTTTGGGTTGTGCGATATTTAATGTTCATCTGAAGAATAGGCACAGCCCCTGATGTTCTAATCAATAATCAAATTAATTACTTTGAAGAATTTTAATGCGATCAGCATTATAAAAATGATTTAGAGTCAAATTTTAAATACTGTGTATTCATTTATCTTCATGGATGTTTTTTCTAAATATTGAACAAAAAATGAAAATGTAACAAGAAAAGTATAACGGAAGAACGTGTTTCTAACTTGCAGCATTAAAGATTGAAGAAGTGATGGGGAGCCACATCGAGGATCCAATTACTTTCTGGGGTCAGGTAATGCCAGGTGGATTATCTTCTAGTAAAATTTAAATGAAAACCGTCTCTTACATCATAAATGGTGAAAGAACAAAATACTGAGACTTGTTTGAAAGCACTGCATTTACACTCTTGGGACAGAACATAAAAGCAATTGGAGCAAATATTTTTTAAATAACCCAGAAAATCGTTAATGAGCAGGGATGGGAGATACTTATCCATATTTCATTGTTGTCTGTGCACTAGAGCTGCATTTTAAAAAAAAAAAAATTCTTCAGTGTTTGTTGTAGCTGACAGGATCCAAACCCTAGTTGACTCTCCCCACTGTGACCTGGAGCACGGATGCCCAATCCACTGATCCAGGCTAGGGCCATGCTTTTTTTTCACACACACACTGGCTGAGATCAGATAAATTAACACAAACTGGGGAACCTTGCAGCTTTCTGCTTTTTGTAACTTAGTTATTTGCAGAATAAGGTCACCGAGTCATGGGAATAGCTTAGAGCTGCATTTTCATTTTACATCGATGTATTTATAAACACACAAGTTGCTGATGTAGTCCAAAATGAAAATGGAGTTCCAGAGCACAGAATAATAATATAATAATAATCCTCGCATTGATATAGTCTTCAAGACGTCTCAAGGCGCTTCACAGAATATACTGCAAAGTGAATCGATTGCATATTTTGTGGGCAAAACGCAGCAGCCAATTCCGTGCAGAAGTGTCCCACAAACAGAACTGGTTTCAGTACCTCCTATTTGCCATCATTACCTGAAATGGCTGGCTAGATCTATTCCATTGATTTCTAATTTTCCTTCAATAGTTTTGTGCACTAGATTCTATGTGCATTGCAGATTCTGATCCAAAATGACGCCTCCGGGTAGTGCCTTTTTGGAATACAATGTTTTGGCCACTGATCCACGCAATAGTGGTCGTCTGCACATTATTAGTATAAAGGTCGCATTTATTGCATTACAGAGAAAATATATTTTGAAGTGGCACTTGAATCTCACCAATCTTGTATTTGAAACAAATGTATAATTTATCACAAGATGGCATGAGAATCTGATTGTAGAATTATTGTTTGAAACTATTTTAATGTGGTATAAACAATGTAACTAATGAACATTGCTTTTGTACTTGTCTGTCTTTATACTCCATCCAGAATACTGAATTAATCCATGAACTTCTTAAGACATTTACTGCCTTGACTGAAATCTGTCCCTTTGCTGCAAAGGTTTTTGGAGATCCTGTCCCTGAAAAGGTATTTTTCGAAGTACATTGGGTGGAGGGGATTGGGAGGAGAGCATTTTTAAGGATTACTTTGATGTCTTTATTCTCACCTCCCCATTTGTTTTGCATCTATCTCAATGCAATGCTCAGAGTTCTGATGTTCTTGATATAGGATTCATCTCCTTTCTGAGTGTGTTTGGCCCTGAATTTCTATTCTTCACATCAAGATGAACTGATTTCTTTGACATTAATTTTTTTTGGCTTCCGAAACCTTGTGCATCAGTTTGAATAATAGCTGGAGCTAAAATAACTAAAGGAATCTTATTGACCTAGTTACTGGTGCTTGGAAGATTGTGTCAACAATGAGTATAGCCAGTGAAAATGGGCCATCTCCACTGGATTTGTTTGAAATTTGAAGCACTTTTCTGCTTTTACAGCAATCTAAGGTTTAGCCAGAACGTGAAGCTCCTCAGATATAGCATGTCAGATGTGACGAACACTGCTTGTCAGATGCTACTTCACTTGCCTGGAGTTCATGTTATTGAATTGCTTTAACAGTACAACATAACTGTCTATATAAATGGTGTAAGTGCAGTCACTGTTGACATAGCCTAACCTTTGTTACATTTTCCCTAACGTTTTGGAGAGAGGAAGCCTTGTGTTGCTTACTTAAGTTATGAAGAGAGAATTGCAGAGCTGAACTTGTTTTCATTGGAGAAAATATTTACGGGCACAGGGGGCATGATCTGGTTGGCTTTGACTGTGACAGCAGAACCAGAGGGCAGAGGTTTAAAACTTTAAAAAGTATCAAACTGGTAATTATAATGTATTTTCCTCATGGAAAAGTGGATGTAAAGAATGGATTCTGAACAAAATCAGTTCATGTGTGATTAACTCTCTGAAAATAACTGGATAGATATCTGATTCAGAGCAGTTTAAGGTTATAGGAATATGCAGAGATTGAGAGGAGCAAATTTTCAGTGGGATACAATGATTCATGGTCTCCTACGCTGTTCAAATGAGCCACAGCGCAAGCTCGAGGAACAGCTAAGGACCTTACTGCCCTCTGGCCTCAATATTGATTTCAACAATTTCAGACCATAACAGCTCACATTCCCCCTCCCCCTCTTCTGTGACCATTACTACATCATTTTGGTCCCAGACGCACCTTTTCTCTCCCTGATCTGCCCGTTTTATTGCAATTTCTCCCACTTTGTTTTGTATCATTAACACCTCTTCAACCCATCATCCCCTGTCCTCTACCCCATTTTCTCCTTTGTCTTCCATGTCCTGCCTCCCCCATCTCTGTTAGCCCTTAAAAGCCTCTTCCTCCCAAACATGTTCCAGTTCTGACGAAGGGTCATGGACCTGAAACTTTGACTCACTTTCCTTTCTCCATAGATGCTGCCTGACCTGCTGAGTGTTCCCAGCGACTTCTGTTTTTGATTTAGCTAGTGTTCATTTATTTTTTGTTTGATCTTTATTCAGAACATAGCATATGTTTTGCAAGGTAACAAAAGTGTATTTATTTTTTGTTCTTACAGATTTATGGTGGATTGTATTCTGAGGACCAATGCTGGTACAGATGTAAACTGAAGAAAATGCTGAATGATGAGAAGGTATCTTGTAATCAAGGTCATCATTCTCCTCTTCCATCCATAGGATCCTCACCCCTTCAAGACTTAAAAAAAATGCTTACCTTTTAATGGCTAACTTCATGGTTGATTTTGTAGGAAACCTCCGTGCTCAGTACTTCATCAGTTTATGGATAATCTAGGTGAAGAGCAGAAATTGTGTAACATAGGACTATCATGTTGGCAAGAGTAATAGAAAAACCTGAATAAGTCAACAAAAAGTGATGTAGCCATTATCAAGCTTGGATTTAAAATCTAGGGGTTACTCACTTCCTATTGACCAAAGATTCAGAATTTCAGAAAAATGAAGGACACTGTTATAAATGCATAAGAGCTGAAATTATGGGAATGTATAATTCCGTATACATTTTCTGCTTTGAAATGAAATTTCTGGTGTAGTAAACAGTCACTACACTTCACTGTAAAATCCTGTAAAGCTCATTGAGACATCTTGCCAATATAATAAGGTGTATCAAATGCAAGCATTATTATTAAATAACCCACAACTAATACTTCTAAACTGGAAAATTTAAGAAGTGTAGCTTTGGAGTGTGGCTGAGAAAATGTAATTAATTAAAAAAGTTGCTTAAATAAGTAATTTAAGCATTTTAAATGCTTAGAAAACAACTTTTTTTAAAAAAACGAATTGAGGTCAGTGTTCCGGTATTTTTCCTTTCCTTGGAATATTTACAGGTTTCTTCTAATGCTGTTTTGAATTTAGTATCTGGATGCGTGTGATAGTGGCTGGGGGTGTGTGAGTGGTGAGTTTTCGCTCTGTCTTGTGGAATATGGCCAGAATATGTCCACTTGGATTTTTCTCTTGTAACATGAACGAGACCAGGAAACATTGGGCACAGAAACAAGTTTCACTAGCGGTTGGTGGTGCAATGTTCTGCCCAGGCTATCCCTAAACTAAACATTATTAATTTCACAAACTAATTGCTTTGAAATATTTTGGGCATATTATTTTTTAATACATTTTATCATTTTTATCTTTAGTGTCTGATGACTTATATTGATTATGGAAATTCGGAGACTTTAAAAAAATCGTACATAGTTGAACTTCCAGAAAATTTGCAGTGCCCCGGGCTAGCCAGCAAGTTCCGACTTTGGGGTCTGGAGATTCCAGTTAAACAAAATGTGACTCCTTTTGACCAGGTAAAGAAAAATGTACTGCCAGGAATATCTCATCACACTTAAGGTTATTTAGAATTTTAATTATTTGCGTTAAAGGCACTCCTATTAGCAACATGATGAGCATTCCTGTGCAACAAGGCAATATGGTTTCCCATTGGTTAAAGTTATAAATATAGGTTGTAAAGGACTTATGGCAAAGTGTTTCATTTTGTATGGCTCTGTCAGAGACGCTCAGTTTATTCCTTGCGGGTTGCTTGTCACCACATCCTTCATCCGAAGGGCAGGTGGAGTGCTGTAACTCAGTGGTTAGAGCAAGCAAGACACCCAGGTTCGATTCGTGGCAGGGCAAAACCCTGGGCAAGTTTCCTTACTCCACACGCCTAATAATAATCCCTCAAGAAAAAAAACAATAATAAATTGGTCACTTCAATCCACGACTGTTTGTGTGACACTGCTGTGCGCAATTGGCTGCTGCGTTTCACCCACAAATGTACAGTCAATTCACTTTACAGTATATTCTGTGAAGCGCTTTGAGATGTCTAGAAGACGTGATAAGGCGCTATATCAAATGCAAGGATTATTATGATAAGTTGTTTCTGTCATTACTGCTTTATGAAGACACAATTGGGAAACTCCCATTCCTGCCTGAGAACTGGTAAAATGCTTCACTGAACCGCATGAGTGATTGCCACATAGACCTGGAGCTGAAATTGTGTTCCGAGTCCTCCAAGGCATGCATGAAAAGCACTAGATAAATGGAAAATATCTGATAGCTTGAAATGTTTGGTTTTAAGAGTATCAAACGTTGGTTGTGGTGTAAAAGCTAATTTAAAATTTAAACATTTCTGAAATTACTTTAAAAAAAAGCACTTTCCCAATGCTATCGTGATCATTTTATTTTGCCAAATGTGTGATACTGGATGCAAGTTCTGTCCTCGCGTTGGATGAGGGACCCCATTGTATGGTCATTGCAATCTGTTTCTTTGTCTTTGTATATTTTTGTACTGATTTAAGAGAACTAAGGGTTTTTAATTATGATTTTGTTCATCATCATTCCATTCCAGTTTGTGTTGTCATTTTAACATGATTTGGTGTGCTTGAGGTACACTCCACTCCCTTGGCAGTCTTACATGCTTTTGCAGTTTAAATATATAGTATATATTTTGTTTGTAAGTTCAAACTATTTTAACTGTTCATAAGCATGAAGCATGAGACAAATGTACAAACTTTTTTTTGGACAGTCGAGTATCTGATACATGCGGAAACTAATCACCCAAGCTGCGATTTCCATGCTTGACACCTAACAAATGGAAATCCTAGAGATAGATTGTTGGAGTGGAACGTGCTCTTTCTCCCTGGAGGGACAGATCCTGCTTACCTGATTCCTGAAAATAGTGTGTTGGGTACTGCTGACCACATAGCTTGCCATTGATACCACTGTCCGGCAAACTTTCCCGCTTTTGTCCAGCTAGGACCACTCCACCCATCAGGGCTTTGGTTTACACGGTAAAAATTTGTACAAACTTGGGTCGCAGAGTCGCCAAAGGAACAAATTCACTGCGTCCATAGAAACAAGCAAAATAAATCCTTAAGTCCTTTTGTCACACTTTTTGAATACATGATTTAAAAATGGATGCTGAACATGCTATAGATTTGCTAACTGTTAAATCCTTCAACTGTCTGATTCTCAGTCTGATAAACCATTGACACGAGTGTCTATTGCTACTTAATTTCTGCCATCAAGGGTTAGATAGATTGCACATGAAGTCATGCCACTTTTTTTTCCCCCAGGGAAGAAGATTTCTGGCCAGTTTGATAAATGACAAAATCATCCGAGTCACTCACAGAGGTACCGATGAAGACGGAGTCATTTTTGTGAAAGCAGAAAGTGAGGATCTGGACATTGGTCATGAAGTTGCTGAAAAGCGATTTGCTGGAAAGCGCAATGTAGACTCTGTCAACTCTATCAGCTATGAAGGGAGAAGGGAAAATCCAGAACCATTGACATTCATCAGGAACATAAAAGGATTTCCAGATTTCAGCAGTGCTTCACAGAGAGCAAAGCACATGAAGGATTCAAGAAATGATCATCCATCAAACAAAACAAAAGGGAGTGTAGACTCTTTAGAACAAAGAGGTGAAGACCCTAAGGTGGGGAGGGGAAATCCCCTGGCGTGTGCATTGTAAGTGCAAAAGATGCTCCGTGCAATTTTGCTTTTGAAATAGTTTAAAAGTTTGTTTAAACTTGTTTAAAATAATTGCTGTGTATCAGCATCCAGCAGTGAGTATTCCATATTGTTTGTGTAAAGCCTTTTAATGCTGGAGTAACTGCTAACTGAACACAGATGAACTACTTGCCACCAACCATTAGACCATGGAGGAGTTTCTAAATTCCATCAAAACACAAAATACCGCAGATACTGAGTTCCACATAGGCATGGAAATTTCACTTGTCTAGAATTCTGACGAAGTGTCGTGGACCCGAAAAGTTGACTCACTTTCCTTTCTCCATAGATGCTGTCTGACCTGCTGAGTGTTCCCAGCGACTTCTGTTTTTGTTTTCTAAATTCCATGTAGTCTCTTAAGTCATAGAAGATTCCAGGTCTGTGCCTTAATTAGTGTCACTAGGTTAGGAAGAGGATCTGAGCAAGGTTCAAACTTTTGATTGTTATCCAATGATTCCTACTGAAAAGGATGGGATTTGGGATGGGCTTTTTTTTACACACACATGTCCTTTTCTGCCTCCCCCGCCCACACCAATTACAACACACACATACACACACATCTTAGCTCACACATGAAGACTGATCACTTAATTTAGACTGACTCTACAGTGATTGACAGTGTTCCTTTGTAATATGAAGTGGTCTTTTTTATCATTACCTCCTGTTATGGAGAGGCCTGCTGTACCTTTTGGCAGAGAACTAACTCCATTATTTAAAAAAAACCTTGGATTTGATATATGCACAGCAGTGTCCCACAAACAGTTATGAATTGAATAATCAATTTTATTTGTGGGATTGTTGGCTCCCAACACTGGGAGAAGCTCCCTTCTCTTTTCAAATAATGTAATGGGATCTTTTATGTCCACCTGAACAGACCGATGTGACCTCGGTTTTAACACCACCTCCAGCAATGTAGCACATGGTCAGCCTGTACGATGTGATTTCCAAGTCCTGATCTGGGGCTTGAACCCATAACCTTCTAACTTTGCGGTGACAAGTGTTACCAACTGAGGCAGGCTGACATAATGTTTAACTATTTGTCTGAAATTATCACTAGGGTTGAGAAGTTAGTATTCTGCTTGTTATCTGCTGAGGGCTACTCTTAACTTTTGGGGTAAGTTTCCAAAATACAGGTAGTGAATTTGTGATGTATGTCTGTGACTGAAAATGTTTTTCATCAATTTAGATTTGAGAATATAGATATGCAGGAAAGTTATGGCCACTGAACCAGAATCAGTAAGTAATAACTCCTTTGAATTTTTGTTTCTAGGGAGAGAAAATCACCAACTCCGTACAATTTAGCGCAGAAGATGAACATGATGAAGATGCAACATAACCAGAGATTGCTGGAAGATCAAAATGAAAAGCTGAAAGCAGAAAACAGAGCTCATCAGCAAAATTGTCATCTGCTGGAAGAGCAGATTAAGCAACAACAACTTGAGTTGAAGGTATTCTTTGTTTAACTGTCTGAGGTTATCACCACCACCACCATTAAAATTTTCTGAAAACTGAAAATTTTCTGATGGCTTTAAGCTCGACTAGGACAAGCTGTACTGTGTGACTTTCAATAAATAATGCAAAGCATTCCCCAGTGCTGTATTGGACTGTCAGCCTAGACTGGGAGTTCAAGCTCCTGATGTGAGAGATTGAACCCATAACCTTCTGACTCAAAGGCCACAGTACTTCCAACTGAACCAGTCTGACAGCTATATACTGTTTAAGAGGGGAACTGACTTGGTAATCTGTTACAGGCCTTCCCATCACACAGAGGATACAATTCAAGATCCTGGTCCTCACCTTCAAAGCCCTCCATGGCATTGCTCCCCTCTACCTCTGCGACCTCCTAACGCCCTACCAAACTGCCCGCACCCTACCCTCATCCACCCATCACCTCCGGTCTTGACTTTTCCAATGCTTTGCTCTCCGCCCTTCCCAGCTCAATGTAAAGAGGAATAACTGTATATATAATATATATATTATGTAAAGCAGAGCATTTGATGTCAATACTTATAATTCATTCTATAGTAGTTATCAGAACAGTTTCTAGACCTTTGTAGTGCTGTGTATTTTTTTTACACAGAAAATGAAAGCAGAATTAGAACAACATCGGGAAGTAGAAGTTAAGTTGAAAAATGAATTAAACAATGCAGTTGAAATGAAGCTTAAATGCTTGGGAACCAAGGTGGAAAAGCTCAAAAGAATCAGGTAGGTAATACCTGGAAATGCTCTGCAGGTATGAAATTCAATTGTGGGAAAGGTAAATGGTCCATTGAGTCTAACCCTGGCCCAGGTTACTTGTCAGGTGACTTGTCGTTCAGTTATTTAAATTTCTTCAGAGGAAAAACTAAACCGTATTATTTTTCGTAAAATGCAGAGAAAACTGATTAAAATAGTCGCTGGCACATTTAGCATCGGCATCCGGTAATCAAAATCTTCAGCAGTGGAGGTTCTACTGTGTGTGTTACTTTCAATTCCTGATAAAAAACACTTTCCTGTTTAAATCATGTGAATGCCTTTATTAAAGTCACTGGGTGGTGCTGTGTGCAACCTACTGAACACAGTGAACTGGTAATTCCTGCACACCACCACCCAGTGGCAAGAATCAGCTCTGACATGGGTGTGATTAAGTTTACCAGATAGATTTCAAAGGATTTTCAGCTCACAAGGCCCATTTTGGCCCATTTTACCTCATTTATCCAGAATACCCATCTTACTGTCTTCCCATCACAGCATCATTTGATTTTCATCATCCAGCATTAGCATTCTCTGCATCAGGTTGTTTTTTAAATGAGTCCCCAATGTCCTGATCTCAACCATTCTTCCTGGCAACCTGTGTCAGTTGTTAATTAGCCTGTGGGTAAAGAAACACTTTCCGGTGTCTGTCCTGAAATTGCTCTTTGCAACTCTAAACCTAAAAGTATGGTGATGCATTTCTGTATGTGTCAGACACCTGGCTGACCAAAACAAAATAGAATGTATAGAAATTAAGTAGCTTTTAGTATTTTTCTCAACACTACTTCAGTAATACCACCTGAAAGCTTTGCTTTATTAAAGCTTATGTCAATATTTTCGTATACCATTAATTTGTAAACAAAATAACTTTATATGAAGAACAGAATCATGATTTACTGATTGTTCAGTACGTTTATTCCATCAGGAGCAGAGCCATACAGATAAGGAAGCTCCCTCGTCTGTACTGAAATAGTACATTTGGCCTGTGTTGTGTGTTTCAACGTTTAACACTCACTATTGAGGCTCATTTAAAATTAATTGTCCCCTCAGAAATGTACCTGAGTAAAACCAAACTTGTTAAGAGAAGGGAGACAAAGCTGAAGAAGAGAGCAGTAGGTTAGTTTTATGTACTCTGCTGATCCAAAAATGCTTCTATGAAAATTTGTAGGAGTGAAAATGCTGAGAATTGTTTTGGAGATGATCTTTCTGCAGCGATACAAATGATCACTGTTGGGAGCTTGTGCACTCCAGCTTCAATGAGAAACCTTGAAAGTGCTTGGAATGAATACACTCTCGCCCAGGAAATGCTTCGGGCATGCAAGTCTGTGGTGAGTTGGACTGACTTGGCTATTGAGCATCTCTGGATCCTAACTTGCAGCTTCTGCAGTATTCACTAAGTTGTTCATTCAATATCTTTATAAATTGAAATCCTGCTACTTCTGCCCTTCAAAATATTTGTGAATCCTTCATGAACAGAGCATAAAAATGCCTTTATTTTCTTGAAAGTAATGTTATTCTTGAACGAGGCCTGCTATGTATTTTCAGTCAGCACATCTGAATGGTGGTGGAGAAATTAACAATGAAAATATTGTTTTGGTGTGTTGTGAATACTACCAGTGGTGATCTGATACTCATTTGAAACAATAACTTTCTTCATTCTCTATCCACTCTGAATTGTTGTTGATTAAGGTTAATGCGGGAAATGTATAGGACAGTGGGTTTTGTCACAGACAAATGGAAAAATCTTTGTATCTGTGATGTTTTTTCTGCAGTGGCAAATTTACAGTCCTAACTATAGTTCACAGGTGAAAATGGGTAAATAAGTATTATTTAACTGAGGTAAATTTAAACTATTTACAAAACAAACTATGCACGATTGGCTATAAATGGCGTAAACATCAAACTGGTTTCACAATTGATAACCTCCTATTGCAGTTTGTAACCGGGATAAAGAAGTGTTAGTTTTTTTTACACTGGCCTCTGCTCTGGTCACTAAAGGGTTATCCGAAAAAGCACCAGTACTCCAGTGCAAAATGTGGAAGTTATTGATGCAAGGAATTTTGAGAGTACCTGATTTCTCACTTCCCCTTAAACTGACTTGATTTATAGCCACCAAAATTATAGCTGCAACTTTAACTGAATCTAAAGTCTGGACTTTGGAGGAGTGAAGCTTTTAATATTTCGCTGAGGAGTCTGTCCTTACAGGGATGTTTGCTATAGTTGTGCATATTACTTTCTTCAGTGATTGTGTAATTGTACCCTCAGGATAAAGTGGAGAGCCTGATTGTCGATCGGAATGAAGCACGTTGTACACTGTATACTGCTGTGGAAGTGTTTGCCTCTGAAGTGGACAAGTTACCTATTATAGACCGCGTACACTTTCTGAAGGTTAGAATTTAATCTTTTCTTTAATGCGAAAATGTAAATTTTGAGATATTACTAAAGATTACTTAGTGCTGAAAACCCTCTTTGGGATTCAGCTAAAATAGTAGCTGCTGTTTCCTTGAAACCTGCGTCAGTAGCGTTTAATGGGAAAACCAGTACAGGCCATTGTGCAGTGGGCTATTTGTCCAACAGGGACAACCCATCTGTTCTCAAGCCAGTAAAGCACATTTATAATAGATCTGCATGACTCCACATTTGCCTTTGATTACTCTGGAGCTGTTTGCTCTTTGCCTGTTGTTCTTGGATCCAGTCTTAGGAAGAAGCCCACATACTTCCCCTTCCCCTGATGATACTACACTATACTATTGACCTTAAAATGATGAAGGCTAAATGACCTACAAGGATTACAACCCAGAACTCTCTGGTCCCAAGACTGTGCCTAAAACCAACTATGTGCTTCCTTGGGATATTATCAAGGCTGTGGAACTGTTACGTGGGTTTGAGTTCAAAAGTGATCCAGGATTATCCTATTTTAGTATGGTTGTTTATGTTTAGAATAAATGTAGCTACTGGGAGCACATAATACAGTGATTGGCCATTCCAAGTTGTGGTGGTAGTTTTTCCTCCCTTGGATTCCCACTTCTGCCTTTCTTCTCTCTGGTCTCCCATGCTCCAGTTTGTTGCAGGAACAGAAAATCCCCACTTGTAGAATCAAAGGATTTACAGTACTTTGTAGGACACAAATAGGTGATTTGCGCCTACCATGCCGCGTTGCTGTTTTTGGTTTCCCAAGCCACCAATTTAATCACACTTCTGCTGGACTCTGCTGAAAGTGACACAGTAAAATAAAGCCCAGAGAATCGTAACCTCACGTCTCACCAGCATCTGTTTTTCTTCAGTCTTTAGCTTGTTCTTTGGAGACTGTTTATGGCGAGTGGTCTGATGAAGAGTATACCTCCGATAAAGTGTTTGATCAGTTTTCTGAATGGAGAAATAATAAATTGCAGGAGTTTAACACCATGAAGAACAAAACTGATCAATCTCTGAGAGTGATGTTGGCGTGCTTTGATAAAACTATGAAGGTGACTATTTTGTTTCACTATTTTAAGAATTTGAATAAGAATTAAGATTACTTTCATCCAAAAGCTAAAATGTGTATGATGTCATTTTTGTAAAGAATAGCGCAAGTCATTGGAGATTCTGGTCGATACGTACACTGGGTGCATTTTGCCAATGTAGGCACACAGCTCCACTGGTTAGCTAATAGTAATCCTGGCATTTGATATAGTGCTTCGTAGGATACAATACAAAATGTAGTGACTGTGTATCTTGTGGGAAAACATGGGAGCCAATTTGCACACTGCAGTATCCCACAAACCGTCATGGAGTGAGTGCATTTTGAATAGCGCCCTGGGATCTTTAATGTCCACCTGGACAGGCAGACTGGACCATGGTTTAATGTCTTATCCAAAGGACAACACCTCTGACAGTGCAGTGCGTCAGCATAGACTATATGGTTTCCAAGTCCCGACATGGGACTTGAACCCATAACCTTCTGACTCAGAGGCTACTAACTTAGCCAGGTTGACATAGATACTAGCTCCATAGATTGTCCCTTGATCCCTCCAAATTAAGTTACTGTCACGTCAGGCCAATTTGTCTCATCTTTCAGGGTTATTGAATTGATGGATGATGGAGTTAATTTTTAAAAAATAAATATAACAAAGTTCTTCGCTTGTAATGGACTCTTATATGTTGAAACTTTGGACAGTTATTTGTCTATTTGTCAGCAGTGAATTCATTCAGTGTTACTTTCTTTGATAATCAAATGAATGAAACCACATTTTTCTTTTGTTAAACAGTTGGCAAAACATTTTTACTGTAAAACAGTGAAACTGTTGAATTCTGTGTGTTTTAGTGATTGTTCCCATTTATATCACTGATGCAAAGATTTAGGTGTGTTTCCTGTATCACCTACATCTTTATGCAGTCATTATGTTCTTTGCTTCATGATTTGGTTTCACTGCTTTTGGCCATCTTTCCCCTCCCCTTGGCCCCGGAGCCTGCTTGGGTACAACCCCTGGACTGTATTGGGATGATGTCCTCAAGTCATGAAGGGTGTTATATAAAAGTAAAATTGTATTGGTTTCTCACATGTGAATTATTTTAAAGCTCCCAGCCTGATTGAATCTATGTGTACTCATCGCTGTTATTGGTCTCTCTGAAGTTTTTTGACCTGAACTCTGAGACATCAGTATACTCGGTGGCGGTAGTCGAATGCAAAGATACCATGTTAGATCAAGTTGATCACGATGTATGCAAAGAACTAGAAATTTCAACTTCTGTAAGTATCTGTTTACTTTTACCAATTTTCTCGATTTTAACTTTAATTTAATTTTAATTAACCTGTTGACCATGTGAATAATTAACACCTTTTCCTCAGTAGTTAATAATATAATAATACTTGCATTTGATGTAGCGCCTTATCATGTCGTTAAGACGTCTCAAAGTGCTTCACTAAAGTGGATGCACTGTGTATTTTTGTGGGTGAAACGCAGCAGCCATTTGGTCACAACAGTGTCCCACAAACAGCCATGGAGTCGGTGACCAATTGTATTTGGTGGATTTTTGGCGGGACATTGGGACGAATCTCACTTCTTTTCGAATAGTGCCATGGGATCTTTAACGTCCACCTGAACAGGCAGATAGAACCTCAGTTTAAGTCACATGTGAAGGACAGCACCTCCGACAATGTTTTATTTGGTTTTTACTTTCTGAATCTGTTTCAATTTCTACATTCTTCATCTTATCCTCTACACAAGGGTCAGTTTTATTCAATGGCACATTGAATCTCTTGATCTAATCCTTCCAGAATAGCCATCCCAGTGTTCACCCATCACAGTATCAAGCTTGTTTTTTAATGAGCTTTTTTGGTCAGCCAAATGTTTGACGCATGTGGATACCATGCTCAAGAGTATCCAAATGAGACAGAGTTATACATATGTATACCACCTACGCATGGAAATTTTCCTGTGTCTGGAATGGAATGCGCACTGTCTCCCTCAAGGGAATATTCTTAAAGTTCAGTAATCTCTCAGGTCAGGTTAGGTATATGTAGCACACTTTCTCGAAATGGGTTGAGACTCCTGCTCAAACATGGGAGAAACTTTCAACTCTTCAGTTTATTGTGAGATAAATTGTGACTCAGGAATTCCGGATGTGAAAGCACAGCGTCCCAACACCTTGAAAGATTGTGCAAGAAATGTAGCTGTAATGTTCTTGTAAATGACCCACCTAAAATTATTCAAATAATTCTCTCTTGCGCATTTGAATAGATGTATCAACTTGATTTTCAGATGTGATTTTTTTGTGTGAGAAAACGGAAATTGTGGTTATTCTAGGATGATTTTATGATGTAAACCTAATTATTTTTTAAGCCACAAGGTGAAGCTGATGCCAAGATAATGCATAGTACCTTCAGCACAGTGATGCACAAGATCCAAGAGGAGCAGAATCTCCTTTCAGTCGTACAGGATAAATATGCAGCCAGCATTGAGGTAACCAGATTTTTATTGGCTCAGTTTAGGATCGCTTCTTGGCCTTTGGTTTGTGAGAGCAGATCAAACTCCTTAGATCGGAAGTACTGCAATACCGATCCCAACCAATATAGGGTTGACAGAATCGCTGCAGCTGGGAGCTCAATCTTCCCATGTTATGGAAATCTCAACAGGAGATGAGCTTCCCCAGCAAAACCAGCTCCAGAAGCAACTGTTCAGAACACAGTCTACACTTGATCCAAAAGGCCGACGAAGAGGAAGCAGAGAATACTTGAATTCGGATCTTCCTTGAGCACTTGGTCAGTAGGCTCAGGCTGCGCTGGGCCTGCAGGAGAGGCCATCCGGTCACCTGACTTGCTTGGGTGGTCGTGAAGACAGGTTTCAGGTCCACATTGTCCTTTGAAAGTTTTGGGGGGCGATTGGGACTTGTCTGAGGGGCAAACCCCCTTCACTAAGTAGAATGTATTTGGTCTAATTTGGTAATAATAAAAAAAATTCCATTCACTGACTTTGAATTTCATTTTGATATCACAAATTTAAATCTTGCACACCAAAGAGGGTTCAGTTTTTTTTCCCCTCTCATTCTCTGTGTCCACAGTTTAAAGAGCAAGTTGGGCAGTGGCTGAATATTTGTCCCAGTGTTGTGGATCTTCTGTCAATCAAAAAGTCGGTGAAGAATCTGAAAGCCCAGTTGAGATGGAAATTGGTTGAGAAGAGTAACCTAGAAGATGTATGCACAAAATCTGAGTATAATATCTGGTTTGATGGGTCTATTTTAAAACTGCAATAGATAGGGATGGGAACCAAAATGGTTTACTTTGTGGGGGTGGAAAGGAGAAATAGAGTTCTCACAACTATACCTCTGCAAACACTCTGCAAATCCTCAAACACTACCAATCCAGCCTCTCCCTTTGCTCAGCGAGCACCACTTGCATCATGTTCCCTACTCTTATCTGCCCTTCCATCAGCGGCCAGGCTTCCCAGGTTTTTTTGCCCATACTCTCTGGAATTGTGGTAATTGTAGAAGTATAGCAACCAATTTTCTAGCACCAGTGCCCCAGTAAAAGTCATGGAATTGACTAATTGTATCTGGAGGATTGTTGCCAGGACCTTGATTATATCTTTAATGTAGATTATCCTAATTTGCCAGCTGAATGGGTGTCTGACAACAACAACAAAATTACATTTATAAAGCGCCTTTCACGTCGGGAGGACGTCCCAAGGCGCTGAACAGACAGAGTTATGGACCCAAGCTGGGTGTCGGGGAGGGTGAGGGCAGGGGGGAAAACAGGGAGATCGAAAGCACGGTCGAAGAGGAGGGTCTTGAGATGGGTCTTGAAGGTGGCGAGGGAGAGAGTGAGGCGGAGGGACTGCGTGATGGAGTTCCAGAGGGTGGGGCCAGATTGGTAAAAGGACCGCCTGCCATTAGTGAGGTGAGCGAAGCGGTCGACGTGAAGCTGGCTGGAACGTGCTGAGCGGAGGGAGTGAACAGGATGGTAGGGTGTTAGGGGGTCGCAGAGGTAGGAGGGAGCAAGACAGTGGAGGGCTTTGAAGGTGAGGGCCAGGATCCTGAACTGTATTCTCTGTGTGATAGGAAGTCAGTGGAGTCGGGCAACGTTGAGGAGATGGGGGAAGGCAGAGCGGGTTATGGCGCAGATGTGGGGTTGGGTAAGGATGAGGTTGATAGGGTGGCGGAGCCTGACCATCACCATGCTGAAGAATATGCAAACCAGACAGAGTTCCACATATGTATGTGTGGAAATTTGCTTCTTTGCAATGGAATGTACACTCTCCATGGAGAGATAAACCCTATTTACCTAATTCTGGAGAGAATGAGATGCAGGTTGGTAAGAGCCCAGGCTTGGGGACCCCATTATTTGAGTTGGGGTTCTGCTGGAGTTTACCCAGCAAAAACTATAGTTTGCCATTGTGAGCATTCTTTTGCAGGCTACCCAGCTAGAACCACCCTTACCCTTTAGGACTTTGGCTTGCTGGGTTAACAGGAACCGGATGGGAAGAATTGCTGTCCTCAATAGATCTGCCCCTAGTAGGTGTGCTCCCTCAGTCATTTTTCCCCTCGCCTCCCACCCAGTTTCGATGCCAAGCCAGGACTGTCAAGTGTCTTGGGATGCCCTCCTGACATGAAAGGCACTATATGAATGTCAATTTGTATTTAAAGTAAGGATGCACTTTTGTCTCCATGCAGTTGGACAATTGTGATGCAGCAAAGATGAAGGATATGAAGGAAGAAATGCATTCACTTAGGGATAATATTTATCAAGAGATTTGCCGGGAACGTGAAGAATACGTAAGGTTATTGAACATGTCCTTGTTTTGTAAAATTTTCCAGCATTATGAAGGCTAGATGGTCTCTGTTTTACAGAGGGTAGGGAATAGCTATTATGGAAGAGATTTGGATGGAGATGACCAATACGGTGATGTAATAATCCAAGGTTTATTAAGTAATATAAATAACTTCACTTACTCTTAAAACTGAAACCATAGATACAGTAGAATCGACATTGATTCCACTGGGATGTCCGCTGACGCTCTACACAACATCTTTTATGTGTTTCTAACTCCCATCTCCTCTTGTCAGAGTAATAGCCCCACCCTTCACAGGCTGCTTTGCAGAGAGAGAGAGACAGCCTTCCACGCTTGCTTGTTTCTCAGCCTTGAGATAGGCAGGTGTCTGTAGCCTTTTCTTTCTGTGGTCCATTGTCCTTACATCTATGCTCAAGGTCCCGACTGCTCATTATCTCAGAGGAGGGAACATCTTCCCAGGAAAATATGGAATATAATCAGAAGCTGACCTCAACCTGTCCAGGAAAGCTCATTTTAACCCCCGCTAAGCTAGTTATTAAATCAAACCAATCTTATTAAAGGATTATGGGTAGGTTACATTCTAAACATATATAGAGATTAATTAAAAGCCTTAAAAAAACATTAAACATCACAGATATAACCTTACAATTAAATGCGTTTTATTTCAGTGAATCAATCACATGAATGTCAATCTCATGAGTGAGGTGGGGAGGGGGAAGTAACACACTTATAAAATGTGTATTTCTTCAGTGGCTGTGAAAATTAGAATAACTGAGCTGGTAACAGATTGCTTCAATGTGAGTTTAGAACTGGAAATAAAATTAGTTCTGTTCACAGATCCAAATATTTCGTCAGGTTTTTAAAAAAAATCAGTTTAAGGAACACTTCAAAAAGAGTTCTGTGTACTGCGGCTTGGGTCATAAATCTGAATACAAGTTTCATATTAACATCTGAAAACCATTTCTGTAGAATTTGGATAAAGTAGAATGATTCAAACAACAACTTGTATTAATATAGTGCGTTCACGCAGGATGGTGCCTCGGAGCGCTTAACAGTGGTGGGGTTCAAGGGAGAAGGGGAAACGTGCACAATCACAAAGTTGAAACATCCTATGTATTCTCCAAGTGATTACAATTGACCAACACAATAGTAAGATATTAGTTCAGTTGTTCCTTTCTATTGATTTTTCTCCTCAGTCTTAACTTTGCCCTTGTAGAGAGACACTGAGCAGAGGTCAGCCACCTTTTCCCACGGGATGGCATTCATTCTACAAATCTATGCACTCTTAACATGCTAGAGTTGAGTAATTTTTAACTATATATTGATATAGCCAGTGTTCTGCTAGGAATGTGTACGTTAAGAGGGAAAATGTGTAAAGACTTCGTCTTATTAAGGGAACCATAATTTAGTAAATAAGACTTTTTGGTATCCTGCAGATGGATAGAACTATTTATTTTGCAGGAGAGACTTAGCACTGTTGTTCGAGACTGGTTTCCTGAACTACCTCTTCTCCACCCTGAAGCAGGGATCACAACTTGCATGGTAATAATGAGCTTGTGTGTGTGTATTTTCAAAAAGGATGTGTTTTTATGCTTTTGTTGGTACTATGTTTCATTTCTGCTACTTTTATTTTTTGCAATTTGGACCAAATGTTCTTTGCAAAGCAATTTGAGCTTTTGTTGCTTTTGAACATTTATGGGCAAGTGAAGAAGGCATTTCATGTCTGCATAACCAAATATTCACTGAATAAAACTAGTAAATTGTAACATTTGCAATTTCCGATTCCCCAAGTTCATGTTGAAATTTGTAAATTGTGACAGTGTCAACTGGATCTGTGAGCCACACAAATTTTCACAGCAAACTTTGTAAACGGAAGTTGTAATTGAATCAACAAAACTGTCTTCCATGTATTTGAAATTGACACCTGTTGGCAATAACAATGTACTGTCTTTTTGCCACAAAAATATACAGTCACTTCACTTTACAGTATATTCTGTGAAGCGCTTTGACATGTCTCGAAGTCGTGATAAGGCGCTATATCATAATCAGATGCAAGGATTATTTTTATTACTGAGTGATGGTTCAAAATGCAACATGAATATAAAACATTAAACGCAGGCTTTTTGTAAAAGTAAGTGCAAATTTTTAACTTGTAAGGAAGGAAAGAGGGGGAGAGGAAAGAAAAGCTTTCTTTTTCCCTCTTACCTGTCCAAGCATCTTCACTAAGTTTCCTATAACACCTCTTCCTGCCACCGCACGAACACTTGTGATGTTTTCGGGCCTCTATCCTTGGTCCTCTTCTTTTCCTTCCTAGATGCTCGCCCTTTGGTATCATAATCTGCAGGCATGGGGTCCACTTCCATTTGTAGATGGCCAACTCTATCTTTCTGCCTTCACTCTTGATTCCAGGACCACTGCTTTTTGACAGACTGTCCGGCAAACATCGAACCTTGGATAAACATTCATTTCTTTCAACAAAATGTTGACAAAATTGGGACTATTCTGTTTGCATTTGTTCAATTCTTAGCTCTCCTTTTAACCATTTATCTTTGGCCTGCTTTCCTCCACCTCTGCTATATCACCTACTTCATCCTTAGCTCTCTTCCAATGCAGCTGAAATGCTCATTCTCATTCATCTAGAATATTTAATGCAGAACGTGTCTTTGAAATGCATGGGTGAATGGGAATTCAGATGATTTGGCTAAAGATATAAACTTAATGTTTTAATAGAGCAACTTGTGTTCTGATGTTATTTCTGAATTTCTTTCAGCAATCTTCTGGACTGCTCTGTAACAGCTTAGAACGTGATTTATTTGATCCAGAACCAATGAGAGAACTGAGCAACAAGAGACCATGTGTGTGCTCTGAAGTGAAAGCCCAAAAAGTCCTTCTGAAGGTAGTGTCTGTTGAATATGAAGTGTGAAAGTTAGTTTTATTTTAAAATGCCTCACAAATTTTGAGAATTACAATCATAGAATATTGCAGTACAGAAAGAGGCCATTTGGCTCATTGTGCCAGCTCTTTGGAAGAGCTACCCAATTTGTCCCACACCCCTGCTCTTTTCCCATATCCTTGCAAATTTTTCCTTTTCAAGTACCTATCCAATTCCCTTTTGAAAATTGTTATTGAATCTGTTTCCACCACCCTTTCAGTCAGTGCATTCCAGACCGTAACAATGCTCTGTGTTTTTTTAAAAAATTCATCTAATTTCCCTCTGATTCTTTTGCCAATAATCATAAATCTATGTTCCCTGGTTACCAACCCACCTGCCAGTGGATACAGTTTCTCCCTATCTACTCTTATCAAAACCTCTCATAATTTTGAACACCTCTATTAAATCTCCCCTTATCCTTCTCTGCTCTAAGGAGAACAATCCCAGCTTCTCTCATTTCTCCACATAATCAAAGTTCCTCATCCCTAGTACCATTCTGGTAAATCTTCTCTGCACCCTCTCCAAGGCCTTGATAGCCTTCCTGAAATGTGGTGCCCAGAATTGCACACAATACTCCAGCTGAGGCCTAACCAGTGACTTATAATGGTTTAGCAGAACTTGCTTTTGTAAGGAAGTTGGTAGAGATTATAGATATGTTTTTATATTACAAATCTTTCAAATGAAATGTAGTGAATTGTAAGTGTTGAAGTGTGTGATTTTGAACAGTCTTGATACAGTTCCCAGCGGGTGCAATACTCAATTGCCAATTTTGTGCCTCTCCCAAGATGCAAGTGCTCCAACTTTTTAAAAAAATAACAAATGGTTTTGAAGCTTTGTAATATGAAAAGGATACTAAGCCACGTAAGGACATTATGAGGAAGTCCTTTGATTTTTGTTTTGTATTGATAATTGGATATCTTAAAGGAACCAGAAAAATTGCACCGCAACACTAACCTGGCGTCCATTGTACTGGAATTACCCCATCAGAACCTTTCCTCGTAGTATTCAGTAGCTTTGCCCTTGATATTGTATCCAATTCCTTAAATGACTTTAGGAAGGTAGTAATGAAACTTAACTTTGATTGTTCTTGTTCGGATGATGTTGACTGCACTGATTTATTCTGGATACTTATCATGAATTATGTGATTTAATGTGTTCTTTTAACAGGGTTATTCTGTCGATGTTGCCACAGAAGCTAAAATGATAGAAAGAGCTGCAAAATATCACGTGGCTTGGTCTGTGTTAAAGGAAGGGTCTGGAATCATGCCTATTCTGTCCCTATTTGCTTGCAAAGTAAGCGTGTTACATCAATTAAACTAGACAAATAATGAAGTTGGCATTTGATGTAGGAGGTAGGAAGTTCTGTTAAAGTGTTTCACACAATGAATTGTGGTTGTTAAGCAGGAAAATGTGGCAGGTAATCTGTAACAGCAACAAAGGTCAAGCAGCAGTGACCATATGTAATATTGGATGTTTAATCTACATCTGAATCATCAGAACAGGCAGATAGATGTGACATTGGTAAAACAGCACCTCCAACATTGTGATGGCAAACAATAGGAGTGTTCAAAAGAGAGATAGATACTTGGGTAGCAGAATTATTAAAGGGTAAGGAGAAAAAGCAGGGCAATAGGATTTTAAAAAAACCTGCCAAATTCTAATAAACTGGTGGAACAGGTTTGATAGTTTGAATGACATCTCATTTCTGTTTTCTTATGTTACTCGGATTCCCGGAGTATTCCATGGAGTTGACAGCCTAGTTTTTCTTAGTTGTTTAGTGTATTCTGTTTTCCAAAGCATAGTTAGTAAATCTGATAACGTACATTTAAGTGTGGAGATGCCAAGTCTGAATAAAGAATTTAAACATTAAAAACTTTTAAATGAAAAATAAAGCTGTTTGAAAAAAGAGGCTTCAGTAGTCAGTTGTCCTCATTTCTGAGATGTCCATGAGGATATGTTCCACTGAAACCGTTTGCTACTATTCTGTTTCCTTTCTCTAGTCTGAGCCAATGATTTATATCATGGTGCCATTTTATCCAGGATGCAGTTTGAAAGCTGTGCAAGCCATCAATCCTTTAACCTTAATGGTGAGTTAGACTTTGTGAGACAAGATTGAATGTAATTACAACATCTAGTTTGATGGTTTGCTTTGCGGTTAATAATATGGTTGGGTCCTGAGATACATGGATCTAGAACACTGAATTTGAGCTTTGTGACTATGGTGATAGCGTAAGGCACTGAGTCAGTATCAAGAGATTCATAATTACCCCAGAGACAAAGGGCAAAAATGACATCTCAAAAAATTACGTTGATGAATTCCTAACTCCACACCAGACCTGTAAGCACTTCATATGAATGCTGGGAGAGGAAGATTTTAACAGAAGCTGATCAATTCTTAAATAACTTGTGCTTATTCATTAAGTTGAGCTTTTTGCATTTATTCACTTTTTTGTGTAAAGGAGGTGGCTAAAGTGATGCACGGAGTAGCAGTTGGTCTACAGACCCTTCACAATTCAAATATAGTTCATGCTTCTCTTCATCCACACAACGTGTTTGCTGTGAATCGTGAGCGAGGAATTATTGGAGATTTCGATTTTACTAAAACTGCTGTAAGTACTTGGTGCAAAATATCTGCTTTTGTGTAGTGTTTTTAGACAATCCTGGGTCTAAAAAGGTGCTTGTCAGAAAAATAGCAGTACAAATGGCACCTCGCACTGAAAAAAGTGTCACAGGAGAAAGTTTGATACTGAGAGTACTAAGTGTATTACACTAACAGGTAAGACCTTAGCTCTGTCCTGAGATCCTCTGGAGCCAAGGTCTTGCAAGTTGGACGCTGGCTACCATGTCATCAAGAATTCAGGAACTTGAGTCCACTTACCCATTTATATTGCTGCACTCTGTATGGTCTGTAATCCAATGCCTGAAATTACATGGAAGTATGAAAAATCTTAAGGGTCTAAATTGAGGTTTAAATATAAGTGAACCTGTAATTTCCATGCATTGTTTTAGGTGCTTTGAAGCAAAAGCTCTGAAAAGTGTATAAGTGGTTAATTGCTCTGAGTACAATCCACTTAATTAACACGTGTTGTGTGTTGCTGCAGTGGACCTATCGATAACACATGTGGTCCTCACCACTTTTTGAATATGGCCTAACAAGCCTCAGGTGGGATTTGTTAAGGTGATGCCAATTCAGGAATGACCAATTGAGCTTCTTTCAGGTGACACTTGAAAATCCAATTGATTGGTTGATTTGCCAATGTGAACTGTGTGACTATGGTTTTATAAAAATGCTCTAAACTGCACGCCATGCATTAAAGAGACAATACTCAGTGAGTTGCCTGTAATGAACAAGCGTAACACTTTATTTTGTGTGCGTCTAGGAGCAGCGTAATATTGTCAGCTGGATGATAGCTGATACTTTGAAACTTATAGCTCCAGAAACCAGAGGTGACCAATCTGCTCTCCCTGCAGCTGATGTTTTTGCTTATGGATGCTTGCTTCTGTGGGTATGCTCATTTTTAAGTAGAACTAAATGCATTACCAGGGCTTCAAAGTTCTTAGGCTTGAAAATGTTTTCTCTATTTTTATTTTTATAGCTTAACTTCCCTGTGCATAGCTTCACAGTAGAGGTTGATGGAACTCCTCAGTTTAGTGGCCTTAACATGGTAAGTTCATATACTTTTGTTTAGTCAGCTGGGTGTCTGACAAATGTGTAAAACCCATCATCGAGGATAAGAGTACCAACAATAACTTGCATTTATTTAACACTCTTCAAGTGGGTTAGCGTCTTGAAATGTTTAACAGTGGCAGAGCCTGACACGAGCTGGGGGAAGTGAGGAGGTGACCATGAGCATGGTCGAAGAAGGTCTTCAGGCACGACCTGATAAACTGGATGGAGGGGGGCAAGGCAGATGGATTGAGGGAGAGAGTTCCAAAGTTTCAGGATCTGGAGGCTGAAAGCATAGCCGAGTAACCAAACCAGACTGAGAATTCCACATATGTCACCAACACTTGGAAATTTCCCTGTATCTGGAGTACTTAGTTGGTGAAGTCTTATTATTAATTAATCTTTGACAAATTAGGTATCTATTTGATGAAGAAATTTTTGAGGGGTATACGCAATAGAAGAGGTGGTGGTGGGGGGGGGGGTTATGAGAAAAAAATCCATTCCATTTCTAATTTATATTGTGATTCCTGGGATTAACCTTCTTGTTTTTTGTTTTTCTATTCATGCTAGACTCCAAAGTATGTAGCACAGAATTTGCTCAGATTTTTTCTGTGTGCTTAAGCCGGTTCTCCACTAGATCAACTCTTGTCTACTCTAATCCCATTTTCTCTGCTCTTTTTCTATATCCTTTAATTTCTTCTTTTAAAATATGTATCCACATCCTTTTTAAATGCTTTTATAGACACTGCCTCAACAATTCTTTATTTTCATTTCTGGTGGGCAATCCACATTTAACAACATGTGAAGCAGCTGCTTTTCCAGCCTGTCAGACTGGCTCAGTTGACAGTCCTCTTGCCTCTGAATTGGGGCTCTGCCAAGCTGCACCTGGAGTACTACATACAGATCACCGTGACACCAGGCCTAGAGGTAGTGCAGAGGGAAGCAGTGATGGTCTGTATTGTTAGGAATAAGCTATGAGCAGCAATTGGACAAGTTTGGGCTCTTCTTCAGTCTTGAGAGAAGATTACTCAGAGGAGACCTCGTAGATATGTGTAAAGAAAAAAGCATTGAAAAAATAAACCCAGAACAATACTTTACGATGCACCATGACAAAACACGAGGACATAAGTTTAGAGTTGCAAAGGCAATTTCAGGACAGAGAGCAGGTTTTTTCTTTACCTACAGGGTAATTAATGACTGGAACATGCTAGAAAGGGTGGCTGGGGCCATTTTAAAAAGCAGTTTGAGGCTGTATGGCGGTTAGCTGAGTGGGTGTGCTGGAGGGCTGAGATCAGATGGGCTTTCTTCAGACAAACCAAGTTTGTGAACTTTGATCTCACAGTCTAGGTTGATAGTCCAGTACAGTGCAGGGGAATGCTGCAATATTGAAGGTGCTGTCCTTTGGATAAGATGTTAAACTGATGTCTCGTTTGCCTGTCCAGATGACCAATAAAGATCCTGTTGCACTATTTGAAAAGAGGGAGTTTCTCCTGATTGAAAATTGCTCAAGATAAAATTAGTCATTTACTTCATGGCTGTTTGTGGAACATTGCTATGTACAAACAGGGTGCCATGTTTACCTACAAAGTACACGATCACTACACTTCGTAGTGTGCTTTGAAACTTTCTTCTGATGTGAAAGGTGTTACATTAATGGCAAGGATTACAATTATAAGACTAAAGTGAGGAAACGTGATTAATATAACTGACCTAACGGTCTATCTTGGAGTTCTCTACAAAGTTTTTTTTTAAACTTTTGTTTTGCACCATGAAGTAATGGTTTTCTTTTTTTTTTAAAAAAGGATTGTAAACTTGAGAGCCTTGTATCGAAGTTGATCCGTTTCAATCCACATGACAGACTGAGAGTGGACGAGGTGCTAAAAGACCCTTATTTTTCAGCGACTGAAACTTCTGATGAGGGGACAGGTTGTGTATTAGAAGAAGCCATCTTGGCCAGCGTTCTCACAGAGGAAAGTGAATCAGGGTTTCGAAGAGAGATTGAGGTGTAGACACCTCTTATAATGGGCACTGCCTGAGGTTTGATTCTTCTAAAATTGTTGGGGACCTCGACAGAATGGCTATTGGGAGGGAGATACAGCCTCATATAGCCACTTCAGTGGTGAGCAGAGTTCATGGAAAACAATTCCTCCAATAAAAGCGGATAACAAGAGTGGTGTGATGTGTATTATTTTTTAATGCCCTTTCTCCTGAGAATTGTCTCATTTTAATTGTTTTATTGACATTTTTGAATTTTTATTCACCGATGAAGGAATCGTGGTCAAGTCAGGATAGTGAGTGACTTGGAGGGAACTTGAAGGTGGTAGTGTTCCCATGAAACTTGTTCTTGTTTTTCTGGATGGTTAAAATGTATATCGCCATTCAGCGATGTGGGAAAATAAGCTTTTTTTGACTATAAAGATGAAATCTTATGTTTTAAGTTGTGAAAAGTTTCTGTAGGCAAGAAACTGAGTGGGTTTCAAGTGCTCCCCTGAGTGGCTTGAATACATCTTTTTGAGAGGAATTGAAAGTGCTGATGATCTTGTCAATCACAAGTCTGACTGATTGACCTTAAGAGAGGACCTTAAAAAGATAACTAAGTTCTGTATCAAATACAAGGATTATTATTATTATTTCTGCTTCAGTGCTTGACCTTTGCAAAGAATTTTTTGTCCTGGCTATACTTTAAATTAATTGAAACGAAATGTGTAATACTAGCATGTCTGAGAAAAAGTCATTTCACACAGCAAGGTCTTGTTTCAGGACTCGATCTGCCTATTTCTATAGATTACTCTAAATAGTTTAATTTCCTTCAGTTTCACACTAGGTGGCAGCCTATTCCATGAGTCAACAACTAAGCATGTTGCTTTGTGTTTAGCTACTTCTTCTTTTATGGTCTTCATTATTTTCTCTGGTTTTGTGCAAAAATTTCTTAACACATCACAGTATCCAATTTATTATTATAACGCATGGATTAGTAAATGCCTCAATGATTTAAAAAAACAAATTAAGTCATCTTCAGTTCCTATCTCCATAATTAGGGTGACTACAGTTGTACATAACTGCATTGCACATTTGTGTAATTGTGCCTCCACTATTGTGTGTACCTACCTTTGAGTTTATATACAAATATTCTGTAAATTCCCTTACACATAATGTTACTTGCCCTTTTATTCAGTCAATGGGACCTTCTGTGCAGTACGATCGCTACGTATGATACTGCTCGGTTATGCAATGCTCAGATTACCCTGCCCCCCTGACTTCCCTTGTTTTAACCACAAAAAAAATTGTATTCATATCTGGAATTTTAGATGACATTATGTTTGCCATTTTAAATATTCCCTCTCCTGGACTCCACTTCCTTCTCTTTTCTCCTGAAATTGGCCCACAATTCCACATGACTGCTTCAACAACAACAACAAAATTACGTTTATATAGCGCCTTTCACTTTGGGAGGATGTCCCAATGCTCTGGACAATCAGGGATGTACAAGTGAAGGGTGGTGGGGTGGGGAGAGACAAAATCATCCTGCCATCATTAGATGTCCACAAGCACATTTTTGTGTAAGAGATGCTGAATGCAAAGCAGCTCCCACCTGTAGCTCTTTACCCCACCACAAAATGTAGGGGCCAAAATAGCTATATTTCCAGTCAGTATCACACTGGGCTGAGCCATTAGGGGGCGCTGTACCATATGTTTTTCAGTGTTAAATTCCATCAGTGGGATCACTGGTTCCTTACTCTCTGGATTCCTTTTCTCGAAGCATCTTATTTTACCAAATAACTTGGTGGTATATTTGAGAGTATTATCATTTATAAATATTGTGGAGAGTGGAGGTATCAGCCCTTAGTGTCTTGCAGTCACGGCTGTTCAATTAAAACAATTTATATTTATGCAAATACAAAGTCAAAGGAGCTGTGCTTGTTATTACTGTGCACACTGAAACCTGGAGGAAACAAATATATTGTGCATTAGATCATGACCAGAACAAAATACTGAGTAATTTGAAGTTTATATCAGGAAATACTATATATGTGTAATTTTCTAACTGGTAAATTTGTGACATTTTACATAGAACCACAGCAGTGGACAACACAGTAAAGTCCATTTGGCCCATTTGTTTAATGTTGGTGTTTGGTCCAAGAAGCCGTCCATCCTAATCCAAATCCCGTGTTTCCCTGTACCTTCTAAATATCTCTCTTCTGCATGTCCATGTGCTAATTCTCTTAAATGCCCCCAATTGATTGCTCTTATACCCATCTTAGTAAATTATTCCATACTTTGAAAGTCCTTTGGGAGAAGAAGTCTGCTCGTTCAGTCTTGAGAGAAGACAGCTCAGAGAGGACCTGGTATTGGTGTATAAAGTTTTAGATGGGATTGAAAAAGTAAACCCAGATCAATATGTTAAGATGTATCAAGACAACAGAGCAGGAGAATATAGGTTTAGTGCTGTAAAAGGCAATTTCAAGACAGATACCAGTAAGTTTTTCTTTATGCAGAGGGTAATCAACAACTGGACCAGTTTGTAGGAAAGATGGTAGAGACACGAAGTTCATTTAAAAAGCAGCTTAATGCAGTGATTGGTGGGGGAAACTGTAGGTTGGCTGTTCTGGAGGGATGAGACTGGATGTGCTGCAGGGCCTTCTTAATCCAGACTGACCTTGTGAAGTCCATCCAAACCTCTCCTTTCCCTCCCCTCATAGTGTCTTACCCTCCAGCCATCAAATACCCTACCAGCAGAAAGCTTTCCTTTAAAACATTTTAATTATCTCAAATGCTTCTCAGATCTTATCCCCGTTACAATTTTCATATTCACTTTATTCATAGAATTATACAGCGCAGGAGGACATTCGGGCCATCGTGTCTGTGCCGGCTCTTTGAAAAGAGCTATCCAAATCAATCCCACTTCCACCTCTCTCCCCATAACCCTGCAAACTTGTCTTCCCCAAATAATTATCTACTCTCTTAAAAGTTGATATTGAATTGGCTTCCACCACCCTTTCAGGCAATATATTCCTGATCCGAACAACTCGCTGTGTGAAAACATTTCTCCTCACCTCCGCTCTGTTTCTATAATTGCAAAACACTCAAAATTGAAGACCGTAATACAACCTATTTGGTTTCGAAGATTACAAATTCCTCTGTATGTAAATGAGACAATTCAAAGATATATTTAAAAAATCACATAAGCATATGCTGTAATTTTCACAAGAATTATTTTGGGGGCATTTTTGTTCAATTATACTGTATGGTTGTGTTTGGGCTGAGTTGAGATTTGAACCAAAGTACAAGTCTGCTGCAGAGATTTGATGTTCCGAGATACTTCACCAAAGCATCAAATATGTGTTGGGATTATTTTCAATATACTTTCATTGATCTTTAACATCTTTACATATTTGCTAGATGCCCGCTGTAAGCTTTTTCTGTTTGACTAATTGCATCAAATGCACTATTATCAAATGCAAGGATATTTTTATTATTAAAAGCATTTCCCTTCCTTGAACATGGTGTTTCACTCAAACTAACATTGCTTTGACATGTTTGTTTAACTCTTTGTAATTATTTGTTCATTTAAACCACCATATTTAGTGTACTTGTTTCAGCCTGGCTCATTTGCTCGCCTCTGAGTCTGAAGATTGTGGGTTCAAGCCCCACGCCGTGACTTGAACTTGGCTAGTTTAAGCTGACTGCAGTGCTGGGGAAGTGTTGCATTGTTAGAGATGCCATCCCTTGGTTATGATGTTAAGCTAAGGTCCTGTCTACTGTTCAAGTAGGCGTTAAGGATCCTATGCGCCACTCAAAAAGAGAAGGTAGTTAGTTTCTCCTGGTGTCCTGGGTAACAATCCCCTAAAATAAAAGTGGTCATTTGCTTCATGTTTGTGGGACATTGCTGTGTGCAATTGGGCTGCTACAGTTTGCCTACAAATACAGCCACTCAATTTCTGCGAAGTGCTTTGGAAAGTCCTGACGTGAAAGGCACTGTACCAAATCCAAGTATTATTCATAAAAATTTGGCTTCTTTATTCTTGGCAATGTCTACCCAACAACAACAACAAGATTCCATTTATTGAGCGCCTTTCACGTCGGGAGGACGTCCCAAATGCAGATGAATACATATGTGAAGCATGCATAAAATTCACAAATATCGAAACACACAATTTCCTAGTGTATAGAATTACTAATCTAAACATAACGGCTAAATGCAGAATCCTACCAAGCAGAAAATATTTCAGTATGTTGCTGTATTTGTTTTAATGTTCTGCAAACTAAATGCAGCATTTAATGCCAACAAATCATTTTGGAAAATCAAACCATTCTTGTGTAAAATAAATTATCTAAAGTATTTTCTATTTATTCAGACTATCAATTATTAAATGGAGTGTGGCCTGATGCCTTGCAAATTGGCTGTTTTATCTTCACTTTATAGAAACCCTGCTACTATACAAGAATTATATCCACACTTGTTGGCAAGCCGATTGTGTCATTATTGGGGTTCAAGTGCAACAAATCTGCTTTTGCAATCCACAAATCTGGTCAGATTTAAAATATTACATGATATACAAAGGAAGTGCACCGTTTTGTTTTTTAAGGTTGCACTGTCCTGGGGTATCAGCCAGTATCTATTGTTGATTGCAAGTTGAATTTTGAAAAGCTACATAATTGGGAGACAAATGATTCTTGAATTGTGACCTTATTCAGGTTTCCGATAAGCAATGTGTACAGCTGGTTGATGATATAACTTGCTGGAGGGTTTTGAGTGGTTGTCAGCTTCCATTTGTAATGGCTAAGTTTCTCACTGCTTTCAATTAATACGACATATGAAAAACAGTCTCACCCCCTAGAGAGTCAAATTATCAAGTTGATTTAAATGNAAAAAAAGTAATTTTCTGAGTAAGTGAGGCTACCAATAATTCTACATTTAAAGTCTGTAAACTTTCAACCTGGTCTGAAAGATAATGCAGTCTCACTTGTAGTTTCAATGAATATATTTCTTCAATAACAAATAGGAATTACCTGTAAGCAACTCCCTGGAAGCAAACCCCTGGCAGCATTCTGAATGCCAGCGTCCTGAAGCTGGGTCACATATTTGTTCTCTGGCATTCGGGCTGCAACTTTTGACTGCTGGATAAGAGTTTTATGACTTTACTTTGACTTTTAGATTGCAGGATAGAC